AAAATTAAATCAATAATATATACTAAATAAAGTTGGAAATTTAAAATCAGGAGTCAGAAGGTGGGAATGGGAATTTAGTGCGGCAGTTATTGAAGTTTAAGTTGGCGAATCTCATCATCGGAAAATGATTGGATCTAACAACACTTTAGCATAAAGATAATGGAGATAGTGATGGCCAGAAAGATAGAAAAAAGGACATAAAACTGCTATGGTGCACAGTACAGCGGTTTCGGGAGCGTATTCAATGACTCTGCCAAATTAACCAAGATTTATGGGCACGCCCGAGGGACCTATACTCCATTCTATTAACGTCGTATTATACGCGCCCGTCAAATTACCTGCCACAGCACTTAAACGATCCGATCCGGCTTTTACTGAGTGTAGAGTACAAGAGAAATAGAGTGAGAGTGATAAAGATAGGTGTAGAGAAAGCCATATTATATAGATATATGTGCATGTACTATAATATAATCCTCTCGCGTGATGCTTTCTAACTCAACTTGGGTATGATCGCATCCTATCCGTCTAAGGAATCATTTCAATCAACTATCTCTATTTCACTTTAACATTACTATTTAATCGTTTTAATTTTAAACGTTTAACTTAACTAGGCATAGCATGTATATAACCAGATCGATTATCCTTCGCAGTAATTTATTTAAGTAGGAAGCAGTAAAACGTCTAAGGTTGATGTTATAAATAAAATTATAAATAAATGTCCGAAGATTTTCATGCGAAAAAAAACTAGAATTATGAAGATGAGGATATTTTATAAAATATCCTAATAGTTTCGACTTTTTTCAGAGATTTTTTAATTAAATTATGATTTTGTAAATCTCAGTGCTATTAAAAATAATTAAATAAAAGTATAAAAACTCACCAGTTACCGCGAAAGTGGAGCATTTTTCTCGGCTTCAACAAGCCTGGTGTCTAAGAGATTCTGTTATTTTTCTCCTTCTATCATTCAATGAAACTAAAAAAGAAAATAAAAGTTGTCAAATTAATCGATAAAATTACTGTACGGCTTACATTCTTAAAACTTTCAGCGAAATTTTTAATTTCAATCTTTTTACCAAACTAAGGACAGTAATGTTTTATTAAGCATGAATTATTTTCATTAATTACTATGATTATTAGGTACTTTTGACCACTATTTTTATCCGTAAATATGAATCGTTACTTATCGCACAAAATATACAAAAAATAAAATTATAATACAAGCGATATGTCTATAAAATAATAAGTGCCCGATCATCTGTTAATAAGGAAGCTGAACTCCGATGGCCAAGATAAGCGATCGTATTCGTCTCCCTGATGGTAAATCTACATACTTTATACCTGGTGGTCCTCGGAGTATACCGAAACACCAGGTCCACTGTCCACTTCTCCCTTTTTGCCTTACATATACACGTATCTTCTCCACTCGCGAAGGCCCTACGTATAATAATCTATACGGAGACGTCGAATCTGTCCTTACGAATTTGTTCATTTGCCCAATGAGCTAAAAACTTTACCCCACATCACTTTCTCTTCTCCAGATTCTCCGAAGAAGCAGCCCAATTTTTAAATACTTTTATTTTATTTTGTTAATAATACTTGACCGATTTCTTTAAAATTGTAAATACTCCGTTGGGCTTCAACCATCACTCTTGACTGTTTCAACAGTTTAAGTTTAAATTAGATAGCTTTGTCCCAACAATCTTTGATTAATTTCTAATTGTTGATATTCATTAAGTTTATTTATTGCACTTTTTAAGGCTGCATTGTTTACTGAACGAAAAATAATTTTAATTCGTAGACCAGCCATTTAATTTAAGAATAAAATAAAAAGGGCATGTGTGTTTAAGTGATGGAGGGGTAGAGAGTACGCAGATCATGTTTCCACCCGAACAGACAACAATATCTGCAGACAAATGAGCATCCCACCTCTATTGTTGGTTCCATCGGCACGGCAAGAGCTTACTCCAGATCAGATGCTTGCTTTCCTTCCATCCCTTGGAACAATCTATCTACTTCTACTGTTTGGCATATTATACATACATATAGCAGCAGCCCTGTCGTGTTACACTCTGGATCCTGGCCCTTGTGGTTCTTCAGCATATTGTAAACGTTCTGTTTGGTCTTCCTATTCTGATATACTGACAGTGGATCCTATCATCGATGTGGGGGTTCTCCAATCAACCTGATGCGGGCCATTCGATTTCAATGCTTCATTGTAGTTATTATTTTAAACTTAGACATAAGTACTTCTATTGTCCTTCAGTAAATTTTTTCACTGAATTTTTCTTCTTTGTTTGTTAAGCAAAGTTGCTGTTTATTTTTTTCTCCAGTACTGTATAACAGTAATAATAATGTATTATATATGTAATTCAAAAATACGAGTTTTTAGTTACGAGTGTGCAAATAAAAAGCGGTATTACGAGTTTGAGTAATAAAAATATTTTTGTTTATCACGGATGTCATAGACACATGATATGCTTAGGTAATACACGTGTTAACCCTAACCTCGTTATAAATGATAGACCGCAATCACGGAATTATTTTTTTTTTATAAATTAAATACGTACGCCCTCACGATATCACGATTCAGGAGTGAGACCACTTGGCGAACCACCGATCTATTGCATAATCAATCAAGTGGTCGATTTGTGGCATAACTTATAGACCTACGTCTAAATTTCTTCAATTTTTTCTTTTGTATTCTACTGAGGGTCATATATAATTTGCAAAAATTTTCCAGAAAAGCTTAATTAGTGATTGATTTCTTCTGATAATTTTTATCTTCTGGAGAGGATTGAAATTTATCGGGCGGATCTAAAACTGCATTCTTTTCATAAGTAGTAGAAGCTATTAATTTAACATGATTTTAATTGTGAAATTTAATATCGGATAGATTACCTAGTTAAGTTTTAATGAAGAGAATTTGAACTATCAGTCAAGATTTCATCCGTTTTTATTTTTTTTTTTTTTCACTTAATTGTTCCTAAATAATCTACGATCTTGAGGTGCTCTTCATTAGATACTTAAGGTAGTACCCTCGCGACATATAGTGCGAGTAAATTTAGGTATAGTTTAGGATATTTTTGTCTTTCTCACTTGCTATTCCTTACTCACTTCTACTCATGGTTATTTTTGAATAATACAGTTATTTTTTAATAATATTTAAAAATCTAGATGGTAAAAATCAATGAAAGTTTGAAAAAAACAAATAATAGCTGTTTTTTAATAGTAGTTTAGTTTTTTATGAAAATTTTAAAAAAAGTTTCTTAGTTATAATAAAATGTACGAGTAAAATTTTCGGTATCCCGTATATCACAGTGCATAACCTCCTCTAAAAATTCGAACTTTGAAATTAAATATCTCTGAAACTAGATGGTCAAAAAATTTCAATTTGCGTCAATCGATGCAGAATTATATAAATATTAATCTGCCAAAATTTAAAAAAATTCCTAAGAAAACGCCTCTGGCGAGGGTACTACCTTAATCTATTTTTAGAATAAATTTTAATAAAAGTCTTTTCAATAAAAATTATCAAATAAGTTAACCTTTTGTAGAATACGAATAAAGTTCAGATTAAGAGTTTATAAATTTTATAATTTCTGTGATTTTAGCAACTTTACTAGCTCTATAGATCTTCTTGAAAATAGAATTAAGATGTGATTATGAATATTTCCTAGTTTTATTTTCATCAACATGAGTTTATAAATAACTTTTATTATTAAGCGTTGTAAATCAATAATATTGAATTATTTTTGTTGAATAATGATCAGTATAAATTAATATTTCTATGCTTATAAATGTTTTGCGATAAATTTCATAGATGAAAGCACCATCTGTGGTAGGGTTATACCACCAATGAATTCTGAAAGAACAAGCTGTCGATAAGAACGTCCCTAATCGTGCTATTTTCGAAAATAAAAGTTGTTTTGACATTTTGATAATTATATTTTAATATTATTAACTAAATAATATATTCTCTTGTTATCAATGCCATAAAATGAAAAATTGCTATCAATATATACAACCACTAAGACTAGATAGAAAATTTACATCATTTATAAACATTTCAACTTACAATGTGATGAAAAAATTCCACAATGTCAATCTGTCAATTCATTTGATGAACATTCCGGTAATTGAAAACAGCATCATACTGCTGATGAAGATGAAGATGTCATCAGTCGAAGTAAATATTCCTTCATGTTGTAATGACAATGCTCTTCAACCATTAGCAGTTGAGCCAACACTCAAGTGATCATTTGAAAAATACGAATCTTTACTGATTATAATCAAACACTAATTCTGTTTTAATTTATAAATATTTATTTCAGTTTGGTGCTACGGCACAACGCTTTTATTATGGAGTCCGACGTATTCCCGCTTTCTCAGAAAATCTCCACTCAGAAATGAATGCAAGTGACGCCATCTTAGCTGTTATAATACCGACGCGGCAAATTTGAATTTTTTTTAAATTACGTTAATGTATAAATCGTTTAAACAATTAAATTTATAATAATAAAAATAAATTAGGAAAACAATATTATAAATTTATAATTCGTATGTACGATCGGTAATATAAATTAATTTACCATGTGATGAAAAATACTCTCTCAATATTACCAATGCATTAACTTTCGTTTTCCGTCACAACTTTATCTCCAGTGTCAACAACGTAAAGAAAGGTTAGAAAGATTGTTGACACTTGTAACAATTTTATTTATTCATTAATAAATTAAAAAAATTGACAAATTGTTAACAAAAACTACAATTATATTACAGTAATCGACTTTGGAAAGTTTTTTATTCGTAACATGTAAGTAATTTATTATTTTCTTGTATTATAATTTATATTAATATTTTGGATAAACAATAAAATATTGTAGGCAATTAGCTAGAGCAAATTTCCTTATCGTTTCAATAGTTAATTGATTGTGTTTTCTTGATATAATTCTAATAAAGATTATATTTTTATTAAAGTGTTGAAACATAATTAAAAAACAATGGCGCATTACAAAGGAGCAGCCAGTGAAGCTGGTAGAGCAATGCAGTTGATGAAAAAACGTGAAATAGCGCAACAAGAGATTGAATTGCGTAAAAAAAAAATAGAGGATGATCTAAAAATTCACAATATTGAAAATAAATTCGCTACACACTACAATGCAGTCGAACAACAACTTAAAACATCGACCATCGGTCTGGTTACTCTTAATGAGATGAAAGCGAAGCAGGAGAATATTGTGCGTGAACGAGAAAGAAAACTGGCTCAGAAGGAACGTGAGAAAGAGCAGGAAAAAGAACGAGCGCTGGCTGCCAAGCAGGCTGAAAAGAATAAACAGAAACGACAGATACAGGCGCTGTCTTTTAGTTTGGATGAGGATGAAGATGAAGCCGAGTCTGATGAAGATGAAGGTGATAAAGCTGAAGTTGAAGTAGTTCAAAAATCAGATGATGATTCAGAAGATTCTTGCCAACCAATTAAAAAGATCAAGAAGAATCCAGATGTTGATACGAGTTTTTTGCCCGACAGAGAAAGAGAAGAAGAGGAAAACCGTCTGCGAGAGGAGTTGAGGCAAGAATGGGCTATGAAGCAAAATGCTTTGAAAGAGGAAGAAATTGAAATTACTTTCAGTTATTGGGATGGATCTGGACACAGGAGAAGTGTTTTTATGAAAAAAGGTAATTAATTACTCCAATTTAATTCATTTGTTTATTTTTTTTATTTAATATGCAGTATGCTCTTAAATTTTGTTGAGTTAATTATTAAATTATTTTCTTTCAGCATTAATTTTTTTAATGAACTTAATTATAACATTTCAAATAATATAAATTAAAAAAATTAATAGTTAAAAAAATAAAAGTTAATCACATGTTTTAACTGGTATTAGTTTTGCATTTTATACAGGGAATTCAATTTATCAACTATTACAACGCTGTTTGGAAGTACTGAGACGTGAATTCAGTGAATTGAAGACTGTAATGGCTGATCAACTGATGTATGTTAAAGAAGATTTGATTCTTCCTCACCATTATACATTTTATGACTTTATCGTGACAAAGGTAAAGTACACAAAACTTACTAACTTACTACTTATTTATTTATTTATTTACTTGTAAAGAAACGGCAATTTGCAAGAGTATTTTACATTTTCATGTGTAGAATGTTTGGTAATGTTTATATACAATAAATATTATCTATAAAGAGAAGATAGATTTAAGATTTAAGAGATCTGAGAGAAGAGAAAAACAAATAGATAAATATTTTTAGTAACTGATAATTGATAATCACTAATTGCTAGTTTATAATCTATAATTTATAATAGATATATGTATTTAAAGAAAGCAAGTTATTAAATAAATAATTTTCTATGTCCAGGCGAGAGGAAAGAGTGGACCATTATTCACATTTGATGTACACGATGACATTCGTATGTTACATGACGCGTCTGTAGAGACAGAAGAATCGCATGCTGGAAAAGTTTTGCTAAGGTATTTTAGTAGTGTAATTTTCTCAAATTTAATTTATATAAATTTATAAAAAAATACTAAATATTTTTTTTTTTTACAGATCTTGGTACGAAAGAAATAAACACATCTTCCCAGCAAGCAGATGGGAGCCATTCGATCCGACAAAGAGTTATGATAAGTACACAATCTCTGACAAGAATAAGAAAAAAGATAAACCATAGTTTTTTTTTTTTTTTTTTTTTTTTTTAAATATATTAATGATTATTTGAGAAACAAGATTCAATTTTGTACATAAAAAATTAAAGTAATTCATCATTTTTTCTGGTTCAAGCAATAAACTTACATCTTCATTACTCTTTATTCTTATTCTGATTTTCTGGGAGCTAAAACGGGATAAGCAAAAACAAAATTACAAAGATTCGAGTTGAAATAAAAGTAAGTTAATTATTTAAATCGTTAGAATTGTTTATCGGAAGATCATCATTTAGATGATCAAGCTTATATACCTCTAGTTTTCTATCTATATCTTCAAGTGACTTAATTGATTTTTCATCCAACTTATACGGGTTTGGTTGATTATCATAATTATGTTCCAATATTGCTTCAATAGACTTATTAGTTGCTGAATTATCATGTAGCAATGATTCCAATTGTAATTTTTCTTCATCAGTTATTGAAAGTACTTGTGTATCAAAAGTAGAACTCTGGTGGTAAAAGTACAACAAAATAATTTTAAATTATCAACAGTAATGATTTTAGGATTATTTACGTTTTTTATGATGCAAGACATATCTTGAGAAGGTTTTTCTGATAAAATATTTGCACTTTCAGATGTCTTTTCTTGTGACAGATCAACAATTGAATATGAATTTAAATATTTATTAGTATTTTTAGCCAAGCGTCCAATTTCAAAATTCGACGCCATTGATTCTTTTAAAATCTGGTGATTCTTAAATTGTAAATTAGACAATTCATTTGTTACTTCCTGAAATTAAATTTGTATGAAATAACTGTTAGATATATAAATTAATTTTTATTATTAAATATTTTTTGCCTTTAATTTCAAATCCAAATCGTTTATAGACTCATCAAGTTTTTCAATACATTGGATTTGTTTTTCAATATCATCTTCACAGTCTTTGTCAGCTTTACATGGACTTGACATTTTTCTTTAATAACTTACGTAAAATTTAGCTCTGATCAGTCTTATAAAATAACAATGGACAACTACACAACTTACATGTATTCTATTTATTATAATATGTTATATCGTTACTATGGCAATCAAATCAATAAAGACTTAAAAATATTTAAATAAGAAAAAGTATAAGTATTATTTAAAAATAATTTACAACAATAAAAATAACAAACTATTTATTCGGTATAGTCAAATTTACCAACTTTATTTACAATAAAAAAATAAAAAATATTGGAAAAATAATAATACTTACAACTAAATATAATAAAAAATTGAATCTTCAAATTGTCAAGTTGATTTAAAAATTAACTAACCGAATTAATTATAAAAAATATAATTTAAAAAAAATTTTAATATTACATTTAATTTTATCTAAAATTTGAAATTAATCAAGTGCTTGTTATACTTCTTTGTCTACGTTCAATTCACTTTCATCATCAAGTACTGTTTGAGGTATGAAGCATAATAATCCAGCTATCAAAGCCAAAATACTTCCAATCGTAGTAGGCACCCACAAAGCAATCTTTCCTAGTAAATCAACAATAAAAGGTGCTGTCATTGACCCAACTTGACCCATAACTATGCACAGTCCCAAAGCTGTACTCTTTATATTTGAAGGGAATGACTCTGAATTCCATACCAAGTTGCCAGTAAAACTTGCTGAATTACAACACTTGGCTGCTAACGCCAATCCAATAATAATGTTTTTATTTTCGGTAGGAATCGCCGTGATTGTAATCATGAAAAAAAATGCGAGTATGTAAACTATGATAAGCGATTCTCTAGTGTTTAAAACAATCATGACCACTAAAATGGTCATGTTTGCTAAAATTTCATTGATTACTGCTATGGATATATAAATGTACTGGTCCGAGTTGAAATTGTCAGCACTAAAAACTGGAATTTCAAAAAAGTTGTGGATTAGATAATTTGCATTCACATGAAAAAAATTAAAAAATAAATTCAATTCTTACTGAGTATATAATCAACAATCATTGTAACGTAGAATGTAAAGAACATAACTAAAATTTTTCTTCTCAAATCTGAAGTAGTAAATAAAATTATCAGACTTTCAAAAGCTCGATAGAAAAAACCTTTATTTTTCTTTATTGTTTCAAGACATTTTGGTGCTGAAAATTTAAATGTCGGATTCTCTATACTGTAAGTCGGTGGTTCGACAAACGATTTATTATATCGTTCAATTATTTTTTGAGCTTCGTCGTACCGATTCTGGGATATTAACCATCTTGGTGACTCTGGTATAAGCCTAGTAAAAAAAGAAATTTATATTACTCTTATAATTATACTTTGTTGTGATAAATTGATATTTCAGTGTAATTCACTGGTCGTATGTTGTGTTCTCACCAAACAAGACTTAAAACAGGGATCAAGAAGCATGATATTCCCAACTGCAATTCACGCCAATTTGGTAAAATATAGGCCATACATATTACAAAAAAAGTTCCAATTGATAACATCGAATCAAGACCAGCTACCAATACTTTTCGTTTATCTTTTTTCACAATTTCTGACACTGAAATTTTTGGTATTCTTATTAAAGAGACAAAAAATAATTTTTTGTTGCTTTTGCTACAAAGGTTTAAGAGAAATTTATCAATTTTTTCTTACAAATTGTGTATGCTGTTGTAAACATCGCACCCGTACTCACTCCTGTGAGGTACCTAGTCAGCAAAAAAGTCCAAAACCAAGGTACTAATGCACTTGCAGGTCCAGAAGCGATTTGCAATATTATACCAATCATCAATAATGTTTTACGGCCATATTTATCTGCAAATATACCTACAATAGCTGCGCCAAAAACGGTGCCCAATGAGTACACTAAAAATGTGTATGTTCGATATACTTTTTGATCACAAACTAATTCCCACTAATGAACAAAAAAAATGAAGTTAATCAATCACTATTTATGAAATATAAATTATAATTTATAATATTAAAATTTCAGTGCGTACCTCATCAACAATTGTCGAGCGTTCACAGTTATTGAAAGTGAATGACGTACAAGAAACTGTATTCGGTAAAAATTCTGATTCTTTTACGAATTTCAATGCTTTATTATAACCCAATTTTACTAAATGTGTATAATTATGATCATATTTTCGGCACGAATCATCAGGTGAAATTTCATTAATTTGATCTATTGTCCAATTTGCTGTTACTAGTTCATGGATCGAGCATTGGAAGTCAGTTTCCTGTTTTAAGTGAATAAACAGATTTATTATCATAAATTTATAAAATAAGTTTTATACAAACCTCGGCAATGAAGATATATGATATGGAATTAAGTCCAAACAATAATAATGTAAAAAGATTAATGGCGACGATTATCCGCATGAGTTTGGATCCTTGGCCTAATTTATCCACCGCTTGCAAAAGACATTTTTTTCTTGCTGAATTCTTTTCGTTATTTTCCATTGATTATGCAATATTTTCAGTTTATCGCAAATTTATTAAAACTATTGCATCACAATTTTACGAAAACTCGTAAAACATTTATATGAAAAGTTAATACTGATTCAACAGCTTAAATGATCACGATTATTACAATGTCTTTATGCTCTTAATGTTGCTTATCAGAAAATACGACTTCAGTTTCATGACCAACAGGTGCGAATCCATACTTTTTGTATTGCTCTGATGTATATTTATCGATACGAATACACAAAAATACATTTTAAAAATAACATTTTTAGTACAAATAATGCATATTGGAGATAATAAAAAATGACATCAATCATTGTGCGTAATATTATTTAGCTCAGTGAATTTTAGAAAAACCTTACATGATTAAATGTATTTTATTATCTTTTAATTAAAATACATGAGTAGCTTATAATTTCTCATTTTTATCACCTGGATAATACTTTTTGTCATTAAAATTTTTTATATTTATATAATTGTAACCATATGTTTAGGTATTCCATTATTCAATATTTTTATTTTAAAAATATGGTATTCTTTTTATAATTAAATAAAACAATAAACAATATTCGAAGCGTTTGCGCAAAAAATTATTGTGATTTACATATTGTTCAAGATATCTACTACATATATTTATTTATTATTTTATTTTATATATAATTTATTAAAAATCTATCATTTATTTTTCTTATCACAATAGTTAAGATGAAACAATGCAACCATTCTTTAAATAAGGTCCATCATCCATCGTGCTAGTAATCATAGTTTTACTTCTTATTTTATTATCTTTATTATCTATATTAATATGATAATTTTTTGTCATTTTGTTCAATACTAGTCATGTTTTTCCGAATTTCAATCCGCCGTCGAATTTTTTTTGTTACTTTTAGATTTATTTTCATCACTTAGGTTTGTTGAGGGCATAATGCAGCAAAATAATCCAGCTAAAAGAGATAAAATACAGCAAAGAAGTGTCGGAGCCCACCAAACAACGTCTCCAAGTAAATCAACAATATATGGAGCAGTTAAAGAGCCCATTTGTTCCAATACCACGCAAGTTCCGAGAGCAGTGTTTCGGATGTTGCTAGGAAACAATTCTGAATTTAATGCTATAGAAGACGTAAAAGTCGTTTCTACAAAGAATTTAGTAGCTAGTACTAAACCCATGGTTACTTTTTTATTTTCTACAGGAACAACCAGAATTGACATTAGCAAAACAGACCCACTGAGATAAGCTAATGCCAGTGATTTCCGGCTACTCAAAAATATAAAAACTACTAAAATTGTCAAATGCGCTATTATTTCTTCAACTGCTACTACTATCATAAAGAGATGGCGGTCTGTACTGAAATTGTCAACGTTGAAAACTGAAAATTATAAAATGAATATTTAAAAAGGCAATTTTACATGATTTTAATTTTAAAGAAAATTTTTAGAAATTCTTACTGAGTGAATAACAGACTGCTGCTGTCGTGTAGCTAATAAAATACATAATTAAAATTTTTTTTCTAAAATCTGTAAACAGAATTCTGAGACTTTTAAAATTACGGTAGAAAAAATCTTTTTTCTTATTTAATAAAGATGATTTGAAATTAACTGTTGAATTTTCCACAGTTGACAGTGGTGGTATATCAAGTGATCCGCAATACTTTTCAATTATCTTCTGAGCTTCGTCATGACGGTTTTGTGATACCAACCATCGAGGTGATTCAGGTATCCACCTAAAAAAAGTATATTTTATCAATTAATAACTATCCTCAGAAAAAAATTTTTTTAAAAATTGAAGAAACGAAAAAGGCCAAATTTTTTAGTGATTTTTAATAAAGAACAACATGAAAATATAATTATTATAATTACCAAATTAAAATAGTCATTGGTATAATAAAACATGATATCCCCAATTGCAATTGTCTCCATGTCGGTAATACATAAGCCATACCTATCAGAAAAAAAGTTCCGATTGAAAAGGCAGCATCGAGGAGACTGATATATACTTCTCTTCTTCTACCTTTTGCAATTTCTGACACTACAATTTTATATCAATATTTTTATTAAACAATCGTAATCTTTTTATTAAATTAGTGAGCCAAAAGCAGAATATAAATTTTTCCATACAAATGGTATATGCTGACGAAAACATTCCACCGAGACTCATTCCGGTAAAGAATCTGCATGTCATATAGACCCAAAACCACGGTACTAATGCACTGACGGGTCCAGAAATAATTTGCAGTTTTATACTGATGATTAAAGAAGTTTTTCGCCCATATATATCTGCAAATGTTCCAAAAAATGCTGAACCAACAATGATGCCCGCTGCGTACACTGAAAATGTATTTGCCCGGTGTAATTTTTTGTCACACACTAATTGCCACTATAGGATTAAAAAAATTTAATTAAATTACGATATAAATTTCTATAAATAAATGAAGAAGTTTACCTCATCGACAACTGTTGAGCGTACACTATCATCAAATATAAACGATTCACAAGACGTTGTACTCGGAAGTTTTAATTCTTTTATATACTTTGCAGTTTTATTGTAGCCTAAATTTGCTAAATGTGTATAATTGTAATTATATTTTTGACATGAATCAACTATCGAGATTTCATTAATTTGCTCTTTTGTCCAATTTGCATTTGTCAATTCGGGGATAGAACATTGAAACTCTGGTATCTTTTAAACATGATGACTATTAGAGATTTATTAAAAATAAAATAGCTTCTTTAAATTTTTTAACATACCTCAGCAATGTAGACATAGGACATAGAATTCAAGCCATACAAAATCAACGTAAAAATATTTATGAAAAAAACAATCCAAACTATTTTCGATCCTTCTCCTAATTTATCCACCGCTTGCAAAAGGCACTTTTCCTGCACCAATGTCCGTTCGTTTTTCTCCATTATTTATTCAATTTTATTTTTTCACCACTAATTTCATCGATATCAAGCGTTTTATAAGCAGCAAAAATTTTGCCGAATTTTTTTTAACAGAATAGTAATCGGCTTAATTCTTTCAATAATATCTGTTGAATTAACCGTCATAAGACGATAAAAAATCAGCGTCAAGCGCGACAAGTGCTTATCCCCACTTTAAATTGCTTGAAATAATTTCTTCCGTCATGAATGTATAATTCATTAAGTCAATATTATTAATTTAATTAATATACATACCAATGAAAGTCAAAAATATCATTAATCATCACTAAAAAATGAAGGAAATAAATATATGTACCTTGAAATTTACATTTTTTATTTATTTAATATATACAGAAATATCTGTGAGTATATACATCTTAAATTTCATTATAACAAAAAAATGATTGAATTAAATTTAATTAAATTGTTTTTGTTAAATACTAAATTATAAAATGTAAATTTGACTATTTTTTCAACTATTATCTACTCTCATCATTGATTCTTGTTCTTGGTATAGTAAGACAAAGAAGACCCGCCATTATCGACAAAGTACTACAGAGGGTTGTTGGAGCCCACCATGCAATACTTCCAAGTACGTCAACAATATACGGCGACGTCATTGACCCAACTTGCCCCATTACAACACACGTTCCTAATGCAGTGTTTTTAACATTGGTTGGAAACAATTCTGAGAGAAGAACCAAGTTAGCAGTAAAACTTGTAGCAGCACAAAATTTAGCCGCTAATGCGAGTCCCATGATGATATTTTTATTATCTTCGGAAATTGCAAGAATCGTAATCATTAAAAGGGATGCAGTTGAATGGGTCATAATGAGTGCTTTTTGACCACTTAGATAAATTAAGATTGCTAAAATCGACAAGTGTGCTATTATATCATTGAAAGCTAATATTGCTACGTACACATAGCGGTCTGATTTGAAGTTATCAATACTGAAAACTAAACAAAAAAAAATAATAAAAGGTTAAATTAGTTTTAGTAATTACAAATTTAGATAAAAAATTATTAATTTAATTTCTTACCAAGTGCATAACTTGTTGCCGCAGTTACGTAGTATGAAAAGTACATAATCAACATTTTCTTCCTCAAATCCGGCTGTGTAAATAAAATTCGCAAACTTTCAACGTTACGATGAAAGAATCCTTCATTTTCTTGGTTTATATTCGGTAATTTTGATAGTGAAAATTTATCGTCAGTTTTTGAATCTTCTAAACTATTATTCGGCGTCATTACAAATGATTTGTGGTATTTTTCAATTATTTTTTGAGCTTCATCAAAACGATTCTGTGAAATCAACCACCTTGGAGATTCAGGTAGAAACCTAACAAAAATCGTTATTATTAATTATATAATATAGAATTAAATGATTTTAATTGATTACCTTACCAAATAAGTAAAACTATTGGGATCATTGAACAAGAAATTGCTAGTTGCAATTGTCGCCAAGTTTTTAAATAATATGCCATTCCTATAACAAAAAACGTTCCAATCGAAAAAGACGCATCTAGAATACCTGCACACGCTTTTCTTATGTTGCCCGTCGCAACTTCTGATACTATAAAGAAAAATATCGTAATATAATTATAGTTTAATTGCGCTTATAATCATGGCTATTGTACAGACTGAGTAGTTATGTAAGTGATTACACAAAAGTATTAATTTACAAATCGATGATCGCTCCGTATTTTGACTATTGTTCAACTCTTTTGATTAATATTAATGAGGAATGTGTGAAAAAATTACAAAAATGTCAGAATAAAGCGATGAGAATAATATTAAGAGTAAATAGATATACGCCAATTAGATGTATGCTAGATGCACTATGTTTTCTGTCTGTTGAAGAAAGAATTAAATTTAATGTGTGTGTGTGTTTGTATATAAGATGAAAAATAACTTGTTACCAGAATATTTAAATAGAATTGTTGTTGAGAATGAACATAATTATAGTACAAGATATAAAAATAGATTGTTGGTACAAAGAACAAGAACTGTGAGTGCTCAAAAAACAATAAATATGTATGGTTTTTCATTATTTAACAAGTTAAATATAGACACAAAAAATGCAAGAAATTTAGTAATTTTTAAAAAATTGTTAAGAGAAGAAATAAGAGAAGGAAAAATTTAAAATGTAGATTATATTATATTTTTAAATTTGGTCAAATTATTTATCTTACAAATAGTAAAAGATGATGAATACATGGCGCCAGTACTCATTCCAATAAAAAATTTACAAATAATAAACATCCAAAACCATGGTACCAATGCACTCGTAGGACTAGCAATTACTTGCAATACTATACTGATAATTAAGGAATTTTTTCGGCCGTATTTATCTGCAATTATGCCCAATATTCCTGAGCCTACCATTACGCCTAATGAGTAGACTAAAAATGTGTTTGCTCGATATAATTTTTTTTCGCAAACCAATTCCCACTATTAAACAAAAAAACATTATTGTTAATAAGTCAAACTACTAGTTGTAAACTATAATTTGATATCTTAAATAAATACCTCATCGACAATTGTTGAATGTACACTTTCATTGAACGTAAAAGAAGTGCAAGACACTACACTTGGTAAAAATTCAGACTCTTTTACAAATTCTAATGCGTTGTCATATCCCAAATTCGCGAGATGTGTATAGTTTAATTTATACTGCGTACATGAATCAACAATTGCGATTTCATTGATTTGATCAGTCGTCCAATTTGCATTTTTCAATTCGGGAATAGAGCAATGAAATTCAGGTACCTTTTTGGACATACATCATATAAGAAACATCATTTTAATTTCAAATTTAGAAATTTTTCCGAAAATTGAGACTTACCTCAGAGATGAAAACATAAGACATGGAATTATTACCATACAGTTGTAACGTGAAGAAATTAACGATAAAAATAATCCAAAGAAGTTTAGAAGATCTTCCGCCCATATCATCAATTGCTTGCAAAAGGCATTCTTCTTGTATTTTATTTTTTCCTTTATTCTCCATTGTTCTGTATACTTTCTTAAATTATCATATCACAAGTGATTTTTTTTATTAAATTATAAATCAACACTACAAAATATCTAGAATAAGTTTTCAAATTTTAATTTATACATTCAAATATTCTTATTTTAATACATTTTTTTATTTAATTAAAACACTTTAATAACAAACGTGTTCAAGATGATAAAAAATTATACTGCTAATTGTGCTATCCGTTGTATTTAAAAAATATTAGAGAGTATGATCATGGATGTTTTTCAGTAAAATACAAGAGTAATTTTTTCAATGATAATTAGTGGCCTAAACCACTTTTGTTTATTTTATTGTTAAAGATATCAAAGTATTTTTTTTAATCTTACATTACATAAATCGTCGAGTGTTATCACAATTCAGAATCATTTTTGTGGAATATTTTCTAATTTTAGAAGATTTTTTATCTCTTGTGTACAGAAAAAAATTAATGATGTAATAAATAATTTAGTCAACTTAATCACCAAAAATAGGTTTTATTATCCAAACAATTGAGCTGCTTATTTTTTAAATCATTTATATAATTGAGAAGTTATTTTGTAAAAATGCTTTAAATTTATTAATTTAACTTTCTAAATATTGTACGGAAAAATTTTATAAAATGTTTTTTTTTTTTTTTTTTTTTCAAAAATTGTTTTTGAGTTTTATAATTCATTATTTGTAATCTAAATAAATTGCACTAAAATTTCGCTAAGATTTAGTTACATCTTCTTTCACACCCAGTGGATTTTCTTCTTCTTCAATTTTCGATCGAGGTAAAATGAAGCCAAAAAGACTAGCCAAGAGGAATAAAACACTGCAAAGAGTTGTTGGCGCCCAAAATGCAATGCTTCCTAGTATGTCAACAATATATGGAGCCGTCAACGATCCAAGTTGACCCGTTACAACACAAGTCCCTAAGGCAGTATTTCTGACGTTACTGGAAAATAATTCTGTATTAAGTACTAAATTAATCGTAAAACTAGCTGATGTGCAAAATCTAGCAGCCAAAGCTAGTCCCATAATCATAGTTTTATTTTCCTCTGAAGCCGCCAAAATGGAAATTGTCAAAACGGCCCCAATCATGTATACGATAACCAGTAGTTTTCGAGGACTCACAAACATGAGGACTACTAAAATCGCCATATGTGCAATTATTTCATTAAGCGCTACTACTGACATGTAAATATAGCGATCTGCTTTGAAGTTATCGATACTGAAAACTGAAAATAATAAATATTATTATATTTATTTAATTATCAAATTTAAATTTTTTGAGAAATTAGTAAAGTGTGAATTCTCACCTAGTGACAAGCTTACTACAGTTGTAACGTAATATGAAAAGTACATGACCAAAATTTTTCTTCTTAGATCGGAAGTTGTTAACAAAATTCCTAAGCTTCCAAAATTACGTCTGAAAAAACTCCCCTCTTTTTTCGGGAGGACAGGAATATTTGCAATCGATGATAATTGGGATTCTTTTTTTTTATTCTCTTCAGAGGAGCTCAGTGTCGTTGCAAATGATTTATGATATTTTTCAATTATTTTTTGAGCTTCATCATAACGATTCTGTGCAATTAACCATCTTGGCGACTCGGGAATGAACCTGAAAATAATAATAATTTATGATTATAAAGTAACTAATTTATCGAGAACGAATGCTTGAAAAATAAATAAATAAATTTTACCAAGTATTTAAGTACTTAAAACTTACCAAATAAGAGCAATTATCGGAATTAAGAAACATGATATTCCCAATTGTATCTGCCGCCAGTTAGTTAAAAAATGAGCTATACCGATGAGGAAAAAAATTCCAATTGAAAATGTTGAATCGATAGAAGCTGCAAAAACTTTTCTTCTTTTATCTTTTGAAATTTCTGACACTGAAACATTTGAGTTAATTTATTACACTGTTTCCATTATTTCACCAAAGCGTATTACATTCAAGCTATAACTTTCTTACGGATAGTGAATGCAGAAGAATACATCCCTCCAGTACTCATTCCAGTAATAAACCTACAAAGAGAATATGCCCAGAACCAAGGAGCTAGTGCACTTGCTGGTCCAGCAATAACTTGCAATACTATACTAATGACCAATGATTTCTTTCGTCCATATGCGTCTGAATAAATGCCCAAAATTCCAGAACCACAAGTAATTCCTAAGGCGTAAAGTAAAAATGTGGTTGCTCGATACAATTTTTTTTCGCATACCAGTTCCCACTATCAAACAAAAAGAACAAAAAATTTATAATCACACTAAAAAAAAAAATTAACTCGATTCAAAATAAAAATTCTTGATGCAAGACAAAAAATTCTTGAATCAAGTAAAATTTTCTCAAATTAAGAAAAATTTCCTTAAATCAAGAATTTTTCTACTCAAATCAAGAACATTAAGTTCTTTAAAATTATATACTTGATTCAAGAACATTTTTTTTCTGTGCAGTCAAAATATGCTAAACATGTCGTAGTACTTTGTATTGATTACATACTTCATCAACAATTGTTGATCTTTCATTATCGAAAGTGAATGAAGAACAGGAAATTATGTTTGGCAAAAATTCTAATTCTTCGACAAATTGTACAGCTCTATCATAGCCCAAATTCGCTAGATAAGTATGGTTATGATCATAGTGCTGGCAAGTATCAAAAATAGAAATCTCATTGATTTGATCCGTCGTCCAATTTGCATCCGATAGTTCAGGAATAAAGCAGCGAAACTCGGGTATCTACTCAAATAAACAACATAAAGTAATTAGTAATAATTTAAAATTCTTCCAAAAATAGATAAAAAAAATTGTACAAACCTCTGCAATAAAAACATAGGCCATAGAATTTAATCCAAACAATTGTAATGTAAAAAGATTAATGATAAAAACAATCCAAACTAATGACGAGCCTTGGCCTAGTTCATCTACAGCTTGGAGAAGACACTTTTCTCGTGCTAAATTTTTTTCATTATTCTTCATTGTTTATTTAACTGTTATGTAACTTTTATTACTTTATATAATATATTAACTTGATTTATTTAACTATAATAACTTTATATTTGTTTAAGCGTAATTAAGATTTACGTACTTAATTATTAGATAAAAAAAATCACATTTGAAATTAATTTTATTATATGAACAAATCGTCAACTTTATATATAATAAGATGTTATTTATCTACAACCACACTATTTTTTTACATCGAAGCTCTGCAAGTCGCTCGTTTTCACTTTAGCGTGATCACAAAGAATTGCTGTAAGATTCTTTCTCCCACTAAATGTTCTAAGACCATTTAACCTCCGGGTTAACTACTATGAATTTTAACCGACACAAAAAAAAAAAAATCCGACGAACCTTTTCTATTAAAATTATTAGCAAAATACTTTGTTAGAACTCTTTTAATTTCACTAAGACAATAATTCAATTAGAGATGGTACACATATTAGAGCTTTTATTTTTTTGTAGTTTTGGTCAGTTTATAAAAATTCCCACCAATTAAAACAGTTTAGTAATAATATAAACATAAAAAAATATTATGAACTAGTACTTTTTCTATTTTCAATACGTTCCTAATTACTTTTCAGAAGAGAATATAAGTTTATGATACTCCATTCATGAATTTAGTTGATTTCATCTAATATAAAGTGTAAATTTTGTTTACTTTATTTATCCAAGAATAGCATGATACTTTTTTTTATTATATAAGACGATATGAAACGTTGTTGCTTATCACAATGTCATATGATTCTCTTGGGATTTGATTGCAATGAAATCCATTTTATGGCATTTTAAGTCCAAAAATAATAAGTTAATGATTTGTAATTTATAATTTAGACAGCTTCGTCACAAGTAATGAATTCAATTTTTATCAATTTTATAAATATAGTACTGTCTAGTCGTTATAACGTATTCATTATAAGACTCAAACAAATATTTAGTTATGTTTTTGTAAATCATACACTAATTTACTTCTTCTAAACCTTAATGATTTATAAAGTAAAATTTCCATTGTATTTTATCCTACTACCGTCATTACGTACTATATTACTTCAGAAACTACTGACGTTTTGTCGTAAACATAAAATGCTTTTTCTATTTTATAAAAAAAAAAAATATATCAAATTAACAATATTTGTTTCTATAAAAAATCAGCGACAATATCAAATTTTAAATTTACTACAGTAAGCTTTGACTTTTTGTGTTTTTTTTTTTTTATTTTAATCATTTTTTTATTTTATTACACTCATTTTCTTCATCTATTTTTGTTAGAGGAGTAATAATACATAAAAATGCTGCAAAAAGTGCTAGTACACTACAAAATGTAGTAGGGAGCCACCAAGTAACATTACCAAGTATATCGACAACGAAAGGTGCGCTCATGGAACCTAGTTGTGACAGAACTAAACATGTTCCAAAGGCTGTGTTTCTGACAATAGTCGGAAACAATTCTGAATTTAACACCAAATTAGCAGTAAAACTCACTGAAAGACAAAACTTAGATACTAAAGCCAACACTGCAATTATAATTTTGCTTTCCAATGGAACAGCTAGAATAGCTATCATAACAATGAATCCAATTACATACATTATAATAAGCGATTTTCGACAACTCAAAAACATCAAAATTATCGAAGTTGTCAGGTGGGCTGCTGCATCAACTAGAGATATTATTAATAGATAGATGTAACTATCTAATTTAAAATTGTCTGCATTGAAAGCTAAAATGAAAAAACATTATTAAATATGATGGTATTGTATTGTAAAAAAACTAAAGAAGATAAGTCAAATTTCTTACCAAGCGAAAAACTAATAATTGAAGTTACGTAATATGAAAAGTACATGAATAAAATTTTTTTCCTTAAATCTGATTGTATGAACAGGATTCGCAAGCTTTCGGAATTTCTCTTAAAGAACCCTTTATTTTCTTCCAACGTTGGAGAATATTCTGAAGATGATAATGTAGAATCATTCGTTTGGTTTGCTGCGGCAGGAGTTGGTGTCACGACAAACGACTTAGAATACTTTTCAATTATCTTCTGAGCTTCGTCGTAACGGTTCTGAGAGATTAACCACTTAGGCGACTCGGGGATCCACCTGAAAAAAAAAAAATTTTTATGTAAAAGATTTCTTCAAATTAATACAGTTTTTTAACACATATACTTAATTATAATTTATAAAATTGTAAATAAATTATTTACCAAATTAGAATTATCATTGGAAGAATGAAAGATGAAACAGCTAATTGTAAATGTCTCCAATTTGGTAAGGCATAAGCCATACCTATGACGAAATAAGTACCAATCGAATATGTAGCGTCCAAAATAGCTGCAAACACCTTAATTCTTTTACTTCTAGCAACTTCTGTTACTGCAAGATAAAATATTATAGTTTTTATTACAATATTAAATAATGAGTTACTTACATATAGTGTATGCAGAAGAATACATCGCGCCTATGCTTACTCCAGTGAGAAATTTAAAAATAATAAATGCCCAAAACCAGGGAACCAATGCGCTTGCAGGACAAACAATTGTTTGCAATATTATACTAATAATTAATGAACTTTTCCGTCCATGTTTGTCTGCATATGTACCTAATATACCTGAACCACACGTCATTCCAAATGAAAATATTGAAAATGTAAGTGGTCGATATAAACTTCTATCACAGACTAGGTCCCACTATTAAAAACACTATGAACTTTAGTCAATTTTTAACATAATAAATGTGAATCATAATAATATTTAAATTTAATATGTACCTCATTTATAATTGTTGATCGTCCACTTTCATCGAATGTAAACGATGGACAGGAAATTACATGAGGATTTGATTCACTGTTCGCAATGTATTGTAGGGCTTCATCGTATCCTAACTCCGCAAATTGTGTATAATTATAATCATATTTTTGACATTCATTAGTAATAGAAACGTTTTTGATTTGTTCTATGGTCCACTTTTTTTTTGTAAGCTCCGGGATAGAACAAAAAAATTCGGGTATCTGAAAGAACATGCAATAAAGATTAATTTAGTATTACGCAAAAATAGTCACTCATACAAACCTCAGTGATAAAAATATAAGACATAGTATTCAATCCAAATAATATCATTGTCAGAATATTGAAAACAAAAATAGTCCAAAGAAATGCAGACCCTTCTCCTAAGTCATCTACGGCTTTTAAAAGGGTTTTTTCTTTCGTTAATTTTTCTTCCTTATTTTCCATTATTGATTAAATTTTGTTTGGCTTGTAGCTTCAATAATTTTTTATTTGTAGAAAAATCGATCAACTATGACTTTATAAACTTTTATAATTGTTCCACATTCCTAAGAATTATTTATTCTCAAACTAACTTTATTTATCTTCTAATCACTATTATGACACAATTAAATTGGGTCATTAAGATTTTAATTAAAAGTTTTGAAGTTCAGTTATCCAATATGATTATCAATCATGACATATAGCTGCTCAGTTCACTTGTGAAGCTCTCTAAAAGAAATTTTTTTTTAATCTTGTGTCAATACATAATACTGTCTAAAGAATCTTTAATCAAAAAAACTTGCAAAAATACAAATGAAATAACATAAAATGTCATTTATCAGTGTGTCAATATAAATCGTGCTAAATGACAAGGACTGATAGACTTTAATAATTCTTAATTACTTAAAAATTATCAATATGCTTAATTTATGGTAGAATTAACTTTTACAAAAAAAATTTGAGATTTTATTTTATTTTTTTCAACAATAAAAAAGTGAAGAAAAATCAAGATTTTTTTTATTAATTGAAGCGATGAAAGTCTTAAAATTTATTTAAAAAAAAAAAAAGAGTTTTTCAAAAAAATTTACACAATATTTTGTTAAAACTTTATATTAATACTGTTGCATATATTATCCTCCTCTGTGAATTTCTATCGTATTAAATCGATTTTTAACGACAGTACAATCATTTTCGTCATCTATCTTCGTCAGTGGCGTCAAAAGTCCTAGCAGTCCAACTGTGAGCGACAATAGTCCGCAAAATGTGGTCGGAGCATACCAAATCAGATCACCAAGTAAGTCAACAACATACGGTGCGGTTAAAGAACCTAATTGTCCCATTACTATGCAGGTACCAAATGCCGTATTCCTGACATTCGTGGGGAATAACTCTGAATTGAGAACCAAGTTAGTAGTAAAACTTGCTGATGTACAAAATTTTGCTGTTAATGCTAATCCAAAAATTATATTTTTATTGTCTTCGGGAACTGCAATAATTGCCATCATTAAACTGCTTCCGATAAAGTAATTTATAATAAGTGTCTTTCGACAGCTTATGAACATCAAGACTACTGAAGTTGCCAAATTGGCTATCACTTCATTAATTGAAAGTATTGATAAATAAATATAACGATTTGATTTAAAATTATCAACATTAAAAGCTGAAAAGAAAAAAAAAACATAAATATTTTATCATCTTTCGATGAATAAAAAATAAATCAAAACTTGAAAATATTAATCGCTTCAATACTCACCGAGTGTCAAGCTTGCGACTGCTGTTACGTAATATGAAAAATGCATGAACAAAATTTTTTTTCTTAAATCTGATTGCGTGAACAGGATTCGCAAGCTTTCAGAATTTCGCTTAAAGAACCCTTTGTTTTCTTCCAACTTTGGAGAACACTCTGAAGATGATAAAGTAGAATCATTCGTTTGGTTTTCTGCAGCAGAAGTTTGGGTCATGACAAACGATTTAGAATACTTTTCAATTATCTTCTGAGCTTCGTCGTAACGGTTCTGAGAGATTAACCACCTAGGCGATTCGGGAATCCACCTGAAAAAAAATATTTTTATGTAAATCTTTTAAGATTACTTCAAATTAATACAGATTTTTAACACATATACTCAATTATAATATATAAAATTGTAAATAAATTACTTACCAAATTAGAACTATCATTGGAAGAATGAAACATGACATAGCTAATTGTAGTTGGCGCCAATTTGGCAAAAAATACGCCATGCCTATCAAAAAGAATGTTCCAAATGAAAAAGAAGCATCAAGACCTGCTGCAAAAAATTTTCTTCTGTTGCCTTTTGTGATTTCTGACACTAGAATACAAATTTCGTAATTGAAACATTCCCAAGGATTCTAATTTCTTAAATTACAAATTAACAATTTCTCAAAAAATTAAATTATCGTATTATAGTATTAGTATAATCATCAATTAGTCTTAAATATTGTCATAAATATATTCAAAAAACAAAATTAATCCCCTTATTAAAAAAAAAAGATTTGAAAAGATTCACTCCAGGTAACTGTATATCTATATATAGCAGTCAACTCAAATTTTTTTCAATTTTTTTAAATCGTTTTAATCTCTTTTTTTTTTTATTTAATAAGGGTAATTTAGTCAATAACATTATTTAGATCCTATTCTTCAAGAATTTATAAATATATTTTTAATAAATATTTCTTACAGATCGTAAATGCTGAAGAATACATCGCCCCCACGCTAAATCCGGTAAAGAATCGGAATATCATATAAGCCCAAAACCACGGCACCAGTGCACTCGTTGGCCCAGCAATAACTTGAAATATTATACTGATAATCAAAGAATTTTTTCTTCCATATTTATCTGCATAAGTACCCAATAGTCCAGAACCAGTGACTATTCCAAGTGAATATACAAGAAATGTATTTGCTCGATATAATTTTCTGTCACACACTAAGCTCCACTGTAAATAAGAATACATATTAAATATTATTCCGATTTATAAGTTATAACAATTAATAATTGAATACAAACCTCATTAACAATTGTCGATCGTTTACTCTCATCGAAAGTAAATGACGAACAAGAATCTACACTTGGTAAAAACTTGACATCTTTTACATATCGTGAAACTTTATCGTATCCTTTACTTGCCAAGTAACTATAATTGTATTTGTAAGTATGGCAATCATCGACAGCAGTTATATTTTTTATTTGATCTATCGTCCAGTTAGCTTTCAGAAGCTCTGGAGGAGAACACCAATATTTAGGTACCTGAAAAACGATTCACTTGGTTATATATTTGAAGAATAAAAAAAAAAAATTTTTTTTATTAAAAATCATGACTTACTTCAGTGATGAAAACGTAAGACATTGAATTTATCCCGAATAAAAATGTTGTTGAAAGATTCATGATAAGTAAAATCCAAAGAACTGTGGACCCTTCTCGTAATTGATCAATAGCTTGCAGAAGACATCTTTTTTTTACATCCATTTCATCTCTACCCTTCATCATTTTTTAAACTTTTTTTTTTGGACCATCAATAAATTTACTTTTTATTTTATTTTATGGTAAAAAAGCACATCAACAATAAAATTACAGTTTAAGACTGATTTCAATTTATATTTTTTATATATTACTGTATAGATATCCTCCACTGAATGACAAGAAGCACGGAAAATTAATTTCAAGTGCAACGAACTGTAATAACGATTTTAATACATGCCATGGCAATTGTTTAAATAAAATTTTTTTTTATTCTTCTGTATAAATATACAAACATACTGTACAAATAATCTTTAATGAAATAAATTTGAACAATAATAATAATAATAATAAAAGAGAGATATTTATCAGTGTTTTCATTTAGTTTTTTTAATATTTAGACCTGATTTTGGTCATTTATAAAATGAATATTAGTATTTTTATAAAATAGTAGTAATTTGCAAATATAAAAATAAAAACTATTTTAATAATTCAGCTTGAATTCTTCTTATATAAATTATTATATTATATTTTAGTTAAATCCGTTACATATTAGTACTATATACTTCATAAAAAATTTTATCAGATCCAGTTTTTTGTCCATTCACGTCGAAATCACTCTTGTCCTTCGGCTTAGTTCGAGGTATCAGAAGACAAAGAATTCCAGCGAAAAGGGATAAAACCCCGCAAAGAGTTGTTGGTGCCCAATATGCAACACTTCCAAGTATATCAACAATGTACGGTGCAGTGAGACCTCCTATTTCAGAAAATAATACACATGTGCCTATGGCAGTATTCTTAACAGAGCTAGGGAATAATTTGGCTATAAGAACGAGTTTGGAGGTATAAATAATAGACAAACAAAATTTAGCAATCAGTGCAAATCCCATCATTATGTCTTTGCTTTCTTCTGGAATAGCCGGAATAGCCGCCATGAAAATAAATCCAATTGTGTAAGCTAAAACAAGTGTTTTCCGACAACTTAAATATATCAGAAGCACCAATGCCACAAAGTGAGCTGTCATTTCAGTTGCTGCTATTACTGACATATAAATGAAACGGTCTAATTTGAAGTTATCACTGTTAAAGACTGAAATTAAAAAAAAAAATTATCTTTAGTATATAATTAAAAATTCATTTAATTTACTGAAAATTCTTACTGAGTGAATAACAGATAGCTGAAGACACGTAAGATAAAATGTACACAATCAAAATTTTTTTTCTCAAATCTGAGTTTGTAAATAAAATTCTCAAGCTTTCGGTATTGCAATAAAAGAAATTTTTTTGTTTTTCCAATTTTACAAATGATGATGATACTGAGTTTCTTTTTATTGTTGAAGTTTCCATGATAGAAATCAGTGGCATGACAAAAGATTTATCATATTTTTCAATAATTTTTTGAGCTTCTTCATGTCGATTTTGGGATATGAGCCAACGAGGTGATTCAGGCGTAAAACTAGTAAAAATATAAATTATTATGCATATTCTATTGAGTATTAAAACTTCAATACTTACGTACCATATAAGAATAATAATCGGAACAACAAAACATGATAGTGCTAGTTGTAGATATCGCCACTCTGATAAAAAAAAGGCCATACCTATCAGCAAAAAAGTGCCAACAGAAAATGTTGAATCAATAGAAGCTGATAAATTTTTCCTCATATTATTTTGAGTTACTTCTGACACTACAAATATATAATATTTTAAATATGAAACTAAAAGTGTCATAATAACAATTATTACATACGAAGTGTATACGCTGAAGAAGCCATAGCGCATATACTCATTCCTGTGAAGAATCTGCAAATCATATATGCCCAAAACCACGGAACAAATGCAGTTAAAGGTCCAAAAACAACTTGTAATATTATACTGACTATCAAAGAATTTTTACGTCCATATCGGTCGGAATAAGTACCTAATATACCTGAACCAAAACTCATTCCCAGTGCATAGACTAAAAATGTGTTTGCTCGATATAAATTTTTTTCGCAAACCAACTCCCACTAGCGAAAATATAAAACTATTTTATTTATTATAGATAAAATTTACGGCGAAAAAAAAATTATTTTAATAATTTTACGTTAGAAGCATACCTCGTTCACAATTGTATGCCGTTCACTGTCATTAAACAAAAACGATGTACATTGAATAGTCGTTGGTTTAAGCTCAAGATTCTCGATAGATTTTATAGCTTTATCATACCCCAAATTCGCTAGATTTTTGTAATCGTAATCATATTTTTGGCATTTATCAACAGGAAATACACTTTTGAGCTGGTCAGTAGTCCAATTTGCATTTACAAGCTCTGGAATAAAACACCAATAGTTAGGTGTCTTTTAAGTACACCTTCGATTAGATATTTGTAATTAATAAATGTTAAATATACAGGAAGTAAGAATTAATTACTTTGCTCCGTTCTTTTTTCTTCACAATAATAAAGAAAGAAGAAATAAACCAACCTCAGTTAAAAAAACATACGACATACAATTCAATCCATCGAGTACGGCTATGAACATATTAATGGCGAAAATAATCCAAAGAAATCGAGAACCTTGTCCTAGTTTATCTAATGCTTGCAAAAGGTATGTTTCTTGTATTATTTTTCTTTCTTTATCGTCCATTATGTTTTCAGCTGAATTTACTGTTACTCAAACCGCTACAACTCGGGAACTATATGACTGTTTTATTTAAAAGTAATTATTTTTATTTTCAGGCTTATATATTTTTTATATTTATAATACACCGTGTTTTTTATCGTACAGATTATGTTTAACTTCATTCGAAGAAACGATTTATTATCAGCTGGAAAATATTATCAAAATAATATACTTTCATTAAATAAATCATACTTAATTAAATATAAACACATTTTAGAGTTTATTTATTTTCCTGACGCGCAGTTATTAGCCGAGTTTTCATGGACTCGATTAAAAACAAAATGAAAATTCAATATTTAAGACAGTTCTTGACAAAAAGTAATTTTTGAAGTGAAATATTTAAATTAGTGTTTTATCAATAAGATAATATTTAAAATAAAATTATTATTTAAACTACACATTAAAAATGATCATTAATTCTATTATAATAATTTACATCACAAGTACTTATTATTCAATACAATTCACGTTCTTCATTAATTTTAAGCATAACTTTATAGAAATTAACAATTTTTATAAAATAGAATTCGAGTAAAATTTACAATTCCATCCCCCCTGTAATGATATGTTTGTCATTTTACAATCAAAATTAACGTCAGTTATTTAAAATTTTACAGTGATTGTGAATATTAGAAATTTCAGTAAAAAAAAATTAATAATTATTTACAGTTAAAATCCGTTGAAATCATGTCATAAATTAAAATAAATTACTCGAACACTGATAGAAGGATTTCTTAGTATTTAAAAAGATTTCTTTGTATTTAAGAAATAATTTCTTAATATTTAAAAAATATTTCTTAGTATATAAAAATATTTCTTAGTAGGGTAAGTGCACCAGTTATTGACCGGTCACCAATTAGTTGACCGATGTATAAAAAAGTTAATTAATTAATATTTTACAAGGGTTTTTTTTTTTCTTAAAGTATTAAAATAAAAAAATATGGCATTTAATCATCATAATAAAAAATTACGCAATTAATTGCGCAGTCATTATAGCTTTAAAAAAATATTCTGAGTTTGTTTACAACGCAACCAACCATAAAGCGGTCAAAAATAACTAGCGTACAATTGGAGGGTGAGTGCATTTCATCATTAATTTAGTGATATTTATCGGCATAATATAAAATATTTTAGTTTTATTATGTTGATTAAAGATCAGATTCCAACTTTTTTGAAAAAATAAAATTAAATTATAAGTTTTAATATTATTTTAAAACCGGTCAACTATTGGACCCGTCAAAAGCCCTTTACCCAGTAAAAAATTCATTCGGTCATTTATTAGACCCTCTGATTCTATCACAATCCAATTAATGACCGTATATTTATAATACTAACTTCTTAAGCTCAAAATTAAATCTGTCAAGTGTTTAAAGTACTTTAGTCATTCAATATTTTGTAAATATAAAAATAATCATTATAAAATGTATATTTATAATTAAAATAATACTTTAAATCTTTTTTGATTATTAAATTTTATTTTGTTCTAATTTTTTTAGTGAACGGTTATATCAAAGAACGAATTATTAAAAGAAAAAATTGCTAAGCAATTAAAAAAATAAAAAAGAGTTACAAGCTAGTAAAAAAGCTTTAATTGAAAAAAAGAAGAGAAGAATAAAAAAAATTTCAAATGAATCAGAAGAATTATCGTCATCAAAATGAATTTGTGATTATTTGTGACCTAAAGAAATGTGACTTTGTGTTAATTATTGCTATTATTTATATTATTTTATAAAAAAGTACGATTTAAAATTATATTGTGTGTTTAGTTTTGTTAAAGATGTCGTTAATACTTCAAACGTACTGCATAAATTTAATTACATACGTGTAGTTTACAAAATTACTTATAATTATTTCAGCGGTCAATTAATTGGAGAACGGTCGGTCATTTATTGGGTTTCTTCGGTCAATAATTGGTGATTTTAGTATTTTAACATTCAAATAACAAAATTAATATAATTTTGTTAATTTTTATTATAAATAGTTATTAATTATTATTAATTGAGTATTTAAATTTAGTAAAATCCATTACAAATTGTTTTTCGTAGGTTAATAGATTTTTTATAGCTTAGTACAGAAAAAGAAAACCTTAATCGGTCAATAATTGGTGCATTTACCCTATTTATAATATTTCTTAAATACTAAGAAATATTTTTTAAATAGTAAGAAATGATGTTTAAAAAACGATTTCTTAAACACAAAGAAATCTATTTAAATACTAAGAAATCCTTCTATCAGTGAAATAAATATAATTACAAATTATAACTCCGGTATGGTTGGGTTCATATGAACGATATTTTCAGGAAAATGATCCATGATAATGAATTTTTTCTCATTCGCTTCAACAATATCGTCAACGAATCCAAACCAATAAATAACAAGACCTGGACCAAACCGATTCCAATAACTTAGAAATTGTTCTTTGACATGGGTCTTATGAATATCCGGTGATCCGAAACGTCCTTTTGATTCAATCCAATTGATTATAAAACCATCAACAGCCACGGGAATTTCAAGTTTAACGTCTGGGGTTTTGTCATATCCGCGTACTCTTAAATCATCTTCAGTTGAATATGATGCATTGCACTGATCCAGGTAATACTGCAATTTTGCTTCATATTCATTACCAATCGCTCTGTAAGACATATTAAAATAAATAAATAATTATCTCATCATAAATTATTGGTCGAGTAAATAAATTACTGTAAACTGAAACTTACAAACACACTGAATCCGATATAAGTCCATTTCTGTCGTCGTATAACACACACTAAAAATATTAAATACATTTACTGTAATTTCAAATCTTTAATATTATTAATTAAAAAATAATTCATTAAAAATTACCAAATATATTTCATAAGCCAAATCAACATCTTGGATACGTGTAGTGTCTTTCATAAGTTGTGATATATCGCCTCGAGAAACTATTTAGAAAAAAAAAATTATAAGTAGCTTATTAATTAAAAATTTAAAATGATAAAATTAATAAAAAAGAGGTATTACATTTTTTATTGGTACTTTGAAAATAGCGCTCTAAAATAACACGAGCTAAAAGAGCTGGTGGTAAATTTGCCTTTGCAGCCATTCTCACTATTATTCCTGGACGTTCTCCATCCTTTCTTGCTTTCTCGTAACTGGAAGAAAACATAAATATGTAATTAACTACTTATAAGATGTTACATTATTAAAAAAATTTTCAAATATCTAAATAAAGTAGTTTAATGATATAAAAAAGTTTTTGAATTAAATTAGTACTTTTCTACAATTTTATATGCTTCAAGTGATTATTCATTTGAAATATTAAACTTTAAAAATAATTTAATAATTAAAAGTATATATTATTATTATTATTATTATTATTATATTTTTTCCAGATGTACAGTCTGTTCTACAAACTTTGTTAGATTTTTGTTTAGATAGAAAATTTTATATAATTATCAAGAACTCTCAATAAAGAATAATAATTTGTTTATAATCTAATACTTTTAATTAAAAGTATATATTATAATATTATGCGCAACATAAAACAATTCTATAATAAAAGGTTAAACATACTTTCCATAGTGGTTATATCGAATCCCATGTAATTTATTCCTGCATGTTTTCATTTTCTGCATCACCTCTGCAGATAAAATACTGTGAATAGCATTTGGCGAAACACTATAAAATATAAATTAATATTATTATTATTAGTTTAATTGAAAGTCAATTTATAAAAAATATGTAGTACTTACTCTACGTATTTTTTTATTAATAAGTCAGCACAATCACGAGTCAATCCTTGAAATTTTGCAATATCTTTGACAATTTCTTTGAACAATTCTCTTTTCATTTTGAAAATTTTATTTTATTTTATGTACAATTTACAATTAATTTTTTATCTAAAAATTATACATAAATAAACACGCAAAAACCCTGTTTACTTTTTTTTTTTAGGTTATAAACTACTGTTTATATTTGAAAACTTGTCCGCTGCTGCGATCTTGAGTCACATGTCGAAAGCAATTCAAGAAACATCTGAGATGAAAATGATTGGAGGCTATCGTCCAATATTTTGTGTCCGTGCTTTTGTTGTCATTCTTATTTCTATATAATTATTTTTTAAACTATTATTTTTTACTGATTCAAGTTAATTATTGATAATAAATATTGATAAAATTATTTATATCAATTACTACACACAACTGAATGTTAATTAATAAAAACAGAGTATTAACGAAACAAAATAATTATTAGAAAATTTTCTTTGATCAAAGAAAAATAGATGTTGAAATAAATATTTAGATAATGAAAAAGTACAAAGAAGGTAAAGACTCGAATAATAAGCAAAAAACAAGAACAAATACTGAAGGTAATTTTTTCTTTATGTTATTATTTTTTTATGATAGTTTTTTAAATCTAAATTAATTATTGACATGCATATGAAAAATTTATTTTTTTTACTCAATAAAAATGTCATAGTGAGGATATAAAATATGTAAATTTTGTTTTAGAAAATCAAATAATTAGTTGCCTGTCATATATATGTATATAAATATAGCTGGCACTAAGGTAAAAGACCCAGTTATTGACACTGGCCTAGTTGTTTGACACTTGCAATTTTATTCTAATTAAAAAAAAAAATTTTTCTCAAAAAATTTATAATTAAAAAATTGTACTTATTAATTTATTAGAGTTAATTTATTTTTTTTTAATTAAAATAAAATTGCAAATGTCAATAACTAGGCCAGTGTCAATAACTGGGTTAGATACTTATCATGATTGTAAAAAAAAAAATAACATACTAATAAAAGCAGAACTAAAAATCATGATACTAAAATTAAAAAACATCTCATAATTTTTTAGAAAAATTCTACTTGAATAAATTAAAAAAAAAAATTGTTGATGCAATTTTTTAAGAACATTCAGAGAATGTAAAAATATTTAATTGCTAATATTTTTAAAAAATTTATTAAATTATGGGATTGAAAAATCATATTTTAGTAATATTGTTAATAATTTATTAAAAATAATGAAATTTTTTTTTCTAGAGACGACGAGTAAAAAGAAAAATAAAGAAAATGAAGAAGAGACGGAGGAAGTGGTTTGTTTAGGGCAAAGTTCGCCGAAAAAATCTAAAGTTACTCCAGAAAGCAATAACGATCTATCAGAAAATAGTTACAATGACTACAATGATGTATTTACATTGACCCAAGATAAAAATCAGGATGTCTCGTGGGATTGGAATGGTACGCCAAAATCGAAAAAAAACGATCGCACGCCCAAACGAACAAAATTGGTACACAAAAAACGCCTCTCAAACTCACCGCTGCTGTATAATTCTACAAAAAGAAAGATAATCAGAAAAGATAATACTAACAATCTTGATAAATTGAAAGCTGATATGATTGCGCTGCAAGCGACTATTACGCAGGAGAAAAATGCATCTAATTCTCGGGCTGAGCAGTCGAATAACGGTAACCATATTGATAATGACAGTGATAACGATGATAATGATAATGATGATAACATTACCGAGGAACTTGAATTTGATGATGACTTTAACGATGAATCTGTTCTCGTTGTCTCGTTACCTGCGCCAGCAAACACCCATGGTGCTGGTGATAATAAAAATAATGAGAATATTGATGACATGTTCGATGACTCAATGAATGACATAATGATAAGGTGTAGTCAAGAAATAGAAAAATCATTAAATATAACTCCGCCTATTAGTAAAGACTTTAAAAGTAAGTCTAATAACACAAATAATCCTTTAAATCCAGTGAATAGCTCTAGCAGGTCAAAGTCATTAAATGAATTTGTAAACTCAGCTGGTACTTCAAAATGCCAGCTTCAAAGTAGTTACAAAAACATACCTGCCTCTAAGCCTCAAAATTATTTGCACGCACAAACACTCGCATCTAAATTAGTGTCTGAGCAGAGTAATGCTAAGTTAATTAAACACAAGTCTGAGCCTATCAACAATTCTTCCAATGTGGGTGTGAATGCACAGAAAAATACTTCAAATGTACCTGTAAAAAATAATGATAGTAATGAAAATACTGAGAGCACAGATGATGGTTTTATGAATGATTCGTTCGACGATTTTTTTGCCTCATGTGAAAATGACTTGACAAAAACAGAATCCATTTTTTTGACGGGCCAATCAACGGACACTCACTTTGGTAAAGTTTACAGTCCGAAAGAAGAATCCACGTCAAAAACAACAACTAAACCAAGTTCATTTTTACCGAGGGTGCCTCAAAAATCCTCAACTTCATTTCCTTCGGTAAAACCTAGTTGTAATGTTAATAATACTAATCGTAATTCTAGTGTTCCAGCAATGAGACCAACTGGTGCCATACCCAAAACTACATCAATGTATAATAATTCTAATAATAACAATAGTAATAATAGCAATGGCCGTGCATTTCAACGTTCGGGTAGTTCAGTAAATTTAAGACCAAATGCGCCGATTGTCACTACACCAAAGAAATCCCAGGATTGGAAATTTTTCAAATCTAAAAGTGCTTCAGATTCGAGCTTTGAACAACAAACTAATATCAAACCGGGGCTTCAAGATACAAAATCACATTCAAATTTACGTAGTAGTTTTAAAGTTAATAATGCAAACTTGAATTCAAGGGGTGGTTGCAGAATGTTTGCTGGTGGATCTGTAAGTAATGAACATCTGGCTGTTCGTCGGGCTACAACTTGTTTGGATCCGAATTCTGGAAGGAAAAATATTGTTAAGGATAATACTCAGTTATACAATAATGTTGACAGATTTGGAGGAAGAAGAAACGAAGGTCTTAATGTGTCTAGGAGTAATGGCACGGCTAGACAGACATCGACATTATCTGCGAGAGGAATATCATCTTCATCATCATCATCATCGTCTTCGTCATCGTCATCGAGAGACGTGTCTGCTGGCATGCAATCCTTGCAATTATGTTCAGACCAGGAGATCGCGAGAAAAAGGGAGAAAGCTAGAATGAAATTGGAAGCGAGAATAAAAAGGTTTCAGGCAAGTAACAGTGATTCGTCTGGTAATTCTCTTAGATCCAACGAACGATAGTAAAAAAATAAATTTATTATTTAAATAAAAGTTCTTTTATATTCCTCTTTATGACATTGATTGTGAACACAGGTATTGTGTCGATGTGAAGTGATTGAATGTTTCATTATTTGATTATTAGCTACCAACGATACATTTTTTATTTATGATTTTATTTTTCATTACATTTCATGTCTATTAAATATCTTACTGTGGTGTAAAGTGTTCAGTGTACAGTAAGTTTAAGACTTATATGACATAAATATTTGTCACTGCCTGTTAAATATTGTAAAAATAAAAAAAAAATGAACATTAATAATACAGAGCGGTTAAGAAACCTTGGTTTCTATATGTAAATATTTATTTATAAGCTAATGGAATTTTATATTTGAATAAATTTTCATTTTTTTAAATTTACTTTTTTATTGCACTATAAATTAAAAATTATTTTGTTAATATTTAAATTATTAGAGTCTAAGTAATTAATTAAAAGTATATTAAAATATTTATTTATTTTTCAGGCCATACTTCCACTTGAAATTAAAAAAAAAATTTTTTTTGCAGTCATAGTGTATGTAAATGTCATTAAACTTTTATAATCCCAATTTTTATTTATTTAAAAAATTTTTTTATTATTAAGAAGATGATAGACTGCGAAAAAAATTTTTTTAATCTTTTCTATGTAATTATTTTTTATTAGTGTTGTATAAAAATTTTATTATATTGTTGAAATGATTTAATCTCTACAAAAAAAGAAATAAAGCTTATCATTCTTCCTTAGTTTAATAAATATTTTAAAAAATACACACTTAATTGTGTACTTTTATATAAATCAACGCTAAATTATTTGCTACCCGATATAGAATCATATCTTTATAATTATAAATATCGTTATTATACATTGTAAAGTAATATCGTGACTTTAAATTTTATTAAACAAATATAAATAATCTTTTGTAATCTCTACTAAAAAAAAAAAACTTACAGTTTGGTATTAATTGAAATAAAAACGGCATTGTTCAAGAAGGTATAATTAGACAAAGAAATGCTGCAATAAGTGTTAGAATACCGCATAATGTTGTGGGAGCAAACCAGGCAACATTACCAAGAAAATCAACAATATATGGGCTCGACATTGACCCCAATTGAGCCATAAGTAAACTTGAACCAAGTGCAGAATTTCGTACACTCGTTGGGAACAATTCTGAAGCAAGCAACATGTTGACAGTAAAATTGGCCATTAAGCAAAATTTAGATACAAACGTTAATGCCATAACTATATACACATGCTCTCTAGGAACAGTTACTATCGATAGCATACATATGGCTACAATTGTGTTAATTACGGCACTCGCTTTTTGACAACTTAAACATAACAGGATTATTGGCACCAGTATAATTGCTATCAGGTCAACGGTGGCTGTTATTGCTGTGTAAATATAACGATTCGTATCAAAAGTATCAATGTTGAAGACTGAAATTAATAAAAAGAAGTAGTTAGATTTTCAAATACATATATATGTTTGAATAATGTTAAGAAAAAAATTTTTTTTTTTTTACTTACTAAGGCAATAGCCGACTGATAAAGTTATAAAGAAGAGATAATACATTATAAGAATTTTTTTTCTTAAAATCGAATCCGAAAGGAGAATTTTTGTTTTTCCAAAAAATTTTTTTAAACCTTTTTTTTTAGTATCTTCATTTTCTGATGGTGACGATGAAAGGTTTGGACTTGCTGGAATGAGGGCTGTTGTTTTAGAAGTTTTAGAATATTTGTCGACTATTTTTTGGGCTTCTTCATGACGAGATTGAGATAATAACCATCGAGGTGATTCAGGAAGAAACCTAACAAATTTAACAATTCAATTATAAAATAAAAAAAATATTAGATATAATACTGGATTATAAAAAAACTTACCATACAAGAATAATTGTAATAAGAGTAAAAAATGATAATGCCAATTGTAAATATCGCCAGTTTGTTAAAAAATACGCAATTCCTATGAGCAGTAAAGTTCCAATTGAAAACATGGAATCAATGATAGCGCCAAAGAGATTTTTTTTGTTATTTTTAGTAACTTCTGACACTAAATTAATGAATTTTTTTTGAGTTTTATTAGTCAAATATATTAATATAGAATATAATATAATATAAAAATTTTCTTCCTTACAGATAGTATATGCACATGAATACATTGAACTGATGCTCATTCCAGTCATGAATTTAAACCCAAAATATGCCCAGTACCATGGAATAAACGCACTTGCAGGTACAGAAATCGCTTGTAATATCAAACTAACAATCATTGCTTGTTTTCTTCCGTACTTATCAGAATATATTCCCAAAATTCCGTCACCCAAAAGTTTTCCAAATGCATACGCAAGAAATGTATTGGCGCGGTATATTTTTTTATCGCAAACTAGTTGCCACTGCAAGTAAAAAAAAAATATTTAAGCTGCATACACTGCTATTAACTATTGTTTATTTTTTTATACGTACCTCATCAACAATTGTTGATCTCCCATTTTTATCAAAAACAAACGAAGAACAAGGAATTACGCTTGTATTGAATTTCATATCTTTTACATATTTTACCGCATCTTCATACTTAAGACCCGCAAGATCTGTATAATTAAAATTATATATATGACATTCATCTACTTCCGAAATATTTTTAATCTGCTTGGCTGTCCAATTAAACTTTTCAAATTCTGGAATTGAGCACCAGTGTTCGGGTACCTTCAAAAATATATTATTTATTATTGTAAAATACTTAATTGATTAAAAAATATAGTAATATATGAGCGCTATTATTTATTAATTGCAATTAAATTATGTAATTAGCTTTTCTTTATTTTCCTTTTTGCTGTAACTGTATCATGAATTAAAAAAACATTTTTGTTCTAGGACCGCTTAATTTAATGAATAAATAAATAAAAATAAAAAACACAATACTGACCTCAGCAACAAATATGTAAGACATAGTATGAAATCCATTAAGCAATGACACTGATATACTAACAAATAGAACAATCCAAATAAGTTTAGAGCCTTGTTCAAGTTCATCTAAAGCTCGCAGAATATTTCTTTCTGTTGTTACACTTTTTTTGGATTCCATTTTTATATTTTCTATTTTTTGCACTTGTTCAAATTGAATACAGATCAATAATTAAATTTTTTACGAAACTCTTAAATAAATATTGATAAAAATTTTCCGTGTTAATTTGCTGGTGTACTTACCTCGCACAACAGTGATTTTTTAATAATTCGAATTATTAATCCATAATCAATAAATCTGGTAGTAATATTTCATGTGTGAGCCTTGGGTATTATTTCTGCTGATACGCATTCTAAATATGAATCCAATCCCAGTACAAACATCAGGTATCGTTTCATATAGTCTGTTAAACTGATTTGACGAAAAAACATCAGCCATATGGTTCAGCCATTCATTATCGCAAAGATAATAATCACAATTATCTCTTTCAGGCATCTATTGTCCCAAACGTCGAGGGATCAACGAACAAAATTAGCTGGCTATGATAGATACACGTGTCAACTCTCTTGATGCCTTTGTAAAAAATCTACTGCTGATGTCACACTATTAATGATCATTAAAGTTTAATTATTGAAAAACATATCAGGGTCAAGATCAGATGATGATATTTACGTTTTCGCTCAATTAATTGAATGAATAAAATGCTGTACCAATTGGGTATTATAAGTATTGAGAGTTGAATATATTTCAAGGTCAATTAGGTGAAGATGAATAATTTTACACGGAAAAAAAGAGAGAAAAATTACATTATATAATGTAATGTGGCGTTTCATATAAAAAAACTGGAAAAATTACAACTTCAGATTGTAATTATTACAGATTTTGTAAGAATTACATTGTAAAATGTAAATATTACATTGAATTACTCTGAAAATTAACATTAAAAATTTGAATTTATAAAAATGTTATTTCAAACTGCAATTTTTCTAGTTTTTTATATGAAGCGACGCTTCTTACTATTTATAATGTAATTTTTCTCTTTTTCTTTTTTCTGAGTATGTAAATAAAGTATTAGGCATATTTTTTTTTAATTTTAAAAATTTACTTAACTTTACAAATGGTTTATTAAGCTTTAATTTGTGAAGTATATTATTTGCAAAAGAAAAAAAAAATTAAATTCTGATGAATAAATAGTAAATTTCTATTTCTTCACAGTAACTAATTTATTCAACATTAATAAAAACTTACATTACTTTTTTTAACTTAATGTTATCATTATTTTTAACTCATGTAATTTATTTATAATTTACCCCTTTCTAACAAGAACTACATCATCAACGGTCCACGCAACAGAATTGCTAATTTAGTCAATAATAGACTCCACTCGGAAGTAGACTTCTTCAACGGACACTCCAATCATTTATATCCAGAATTAATTGCATATTATAATTGGCTAATCTGTTTTCAGTCTCTGTCTCTATGTATTCTATTTTTCTCATATAATTTTTCTCTTATTTACTATATTAATCTTGATGTATAACGCCGATAGGCGTATGGTATATATAATAAATAAATAAATAAATAAATAAATAATACAATTAATTAATTAAACAGGGACAATACAACAAAGAAGTCCTGCGATAAATAGTGCGCCACCGCAAAGCACAGATGGAGACCACGGTGCAACTTTGCCCAAAAAATCAACCAAGTATGGAGATGACATAGATCCAACTTGGGCCATTAATATACAGCTTCCTAAAGCTGAATTTCTTACACTTGACGGGAACAGTTTCAAAGAAAATAACATATTTGTTGTAAATGTAGAACTTAAACAAAATTTAGATATCACTGTCATTCCTATCGTCATATATATATTGTCTTTGGGGATAGCAATCATTGATAGCATACAAATTGATGCGATCCAGTAAAGAATAATAGTTGTTTTCTGGCTACTTATACATCTAAGAATTATTGAAACTGTAAGAAGAGATACGAGCTCAGTGGTTGATGCTGCTGCCATGAAAATATAACGATTTATTTTGAAATTATCAACATTAAAAACTAAAACAAAAAACTATAATTAGTACGATGAATAGAATTATTATAAAAAAAATGAGTAATAAAAATATTAATTACTTAAATAATAGCCGACCATGACACAAACAAAAAATGAAAAGTACATGATAAGAATCTTTTTTCTATAAATTGGATCTGTAAAAAGAATTCTTGAATTTCCTAGATAACGTTCAGCAAAACTCTTTTGATGCTTTTCTTCAGTAATAGAATTGTCTATTGATATAGAAGTTAGTGGTATACTTGTGGTAATGAGATTCGGTGTAAAAGTAATTTTTCGATATTTTTCAATTATTTTTTGTGCTTCATTATGACGATTTAGGGCTATTAACCAACGCGGTGATTCCTCTACAAACCTAAATACAATTGAAAGTTATATCAAAATAATTCGGATGAACTATTCGAACTATCAAATAAATTTACCAAACCAAGATAATTGCTGGAATAGTGAATAATGATAATGCCATTTGTAAGTTTCTCCAATTTTTAATATAATAAGAAATAATTATGAGCAAATATACACCAGCGGGATTTAAAGCATCTGATACAGTTCCTAAAATCTTCATTTTATTTTTATTTGCAATTTCCGACACTATAATCATAAATAAAATTAAGTTTTAAAAAATTTGTAAAATATTTTTTCAGGAAATTGCACTTACCCATCGTGTAAGCCGATGAATACATTGCAGCAACGCTGAGTCCAATTAGTAACTCACATAAAATGTACCCCCAAAACCATGGAATAATTGAAGTTAAAGGTACAGCAATAGTTTGCAGAGTTAAACTTATAATCAATGCTTTTCTTCTTCCATTTTTGTCGGCGTATACTCCCAAGATTCCAGTACCCAAAAGTTTTCCGAGGGAATATGTAAAATATGTATTTGCTCGATATAATTGTCGATCACAAACTAAACTCCACTAATAAACCCAGTTGAAAAAAATCTTTGTATTAATTAGTGGTAATAATAATGATAACAATATAAAAACTATGTATAACTTACTTCATTAACTATTGTTGATTTTTCACTTTTATCAAAAATGAAAGAAGAACAAGGAACAAGACTAGTGTTAAATTTAAAATCTTCAACATACTTTCCAGCGTTTTCATAGCCTAAATGCGCAAGATATGCATAATTGTAATCATACTTCAAGCATTTGTCTACTGCTGAAATATTTTGTACTTGCGCGGCTGTCCAGTTAGCATCTAACAGTTCTGGAAAATGGCACCAATGCTCAGGTATCTAGAAAATAGATCATTCTACTTTGTAATTTTGTGAAAATTATTAATATTTTTTTTGTTATCCAGTTCAGCAAGCCAACCTCAGCTATGAAAACATACGACATCGTATGCAACGATTTCAATAGTGAAGATATAGCACTAACAAAAAAAGCAATCCACAAAAACTTTGAGCCTCGTCCTAGCTCATCGATCGCTTGCAGAAGGCACTTTTCTTGTATTTTTTTATTTTCTTCATTTTTCATAATTGAAAAACACTATAAATATAACTATAATACTTATTAGCAAGTTTAAATAGAAATTGCGAGTTGTTACAACGAAAATGTAAGACTTTATGGTATCATTGGGAGCATGTTTTTCTAGTTTATCAAAAAACAAAGTGATGTGTCCTAGAGATATCATTTTCTAATTGAAAAAAAAAAAAAAAAAAAAAATTACGGAAGTAGAGATTAATTAGTACGGTAGCATATAAGTTTGAACTATATATGGCAAGGCAGTGAACGTTTTTGTGCATGTGTGGATTTTTTTTTATCAATCAACAACAAATACAATCACTTGTAACATTGTAGGATATTTTTATCTGCTCACGTTATCTATTGTAGATACAGCGCGTTTTTTTTTATACAATAATGTCATTACAAAATGTGTCGTGAATTTAAAATGCTAGAAGATCATTCAATATCTTAAAAATTTCAACTCACTTCAATGAATTAAATATCAAAATGAGTAAAATTTTCATTTTTAAATTCTGATCAGAATTTATGTTGGGAGTATGTTGGAAAAAGGAGCAGGACAAGTATAATTTAGGTAAAAACTCTAAATTTTATTAAATTAAAAGTCTTCATCAATAATTTTAAATAAATTTTGAAATAAAAATGTGAATACTGAAGTTTATGAAAATTAATTATAATAAAATTTATTATTCAAACTGGAACAATGCAGCATAAAAGTCCTGCAATAAAAAGTGCCCCACCACAAAGCACAGTTGGAGACCACGGTGCAACTTGACCCAAAAAATCAACTAAATATGGCGATGACATTGATCCTATTTGAGACATCACTAAACAGGTCCCTAAAGCTGAGTTTCTTACACTTGATGGAAACAACTTCAAAGAAAATAACATGTTTGTTGTAAATGTAGAACTTAAACAAAATTTAGATATCACCGTCAGTCCTAAAATTAAATATACATTGTCTTTGGGAATAATAATCATTGACAGCATACAAATCGATGCGATCCAATAAAGAATAATAGTCGTTTTCTGACTACTTAAAAATTTTAAAATTACTAAAACTAAAAGAAGAGAAAGCGTTTCTGTAATTGCGGATGCTGTTATGAAAACGTAACGATTTATTTCGAAATTATCAATATTGAGAACTGAAATAAAGAAAATTTATTAGGCACGTATTTATGGATAGAAATATATTTATAGTAAGTTATGAAATTCATAATTACCTAGATAAAAGCTGACCATCACACATACGAAGAACGAAAAGTACATTATAAGTATCTTTTTCCTATATGTTGGATCCGCAAAAAGAATTCCTATATTTCCTAGATAACGCTCCATACAACTTGGTTGATATTTTTCTTTAGTTACAGAGGGTTCCATTGGTATAGAAGTGAGTGGTATACTAGCTGTTATTAAAGCCGGTGTAATGGCGACTTCACAATACTTTTCTAATATTTTTTGGGCTTCATCATGACGAGATTGTGATATGAGCCAGCGAGGTGACTCGTCTATGAACCTGAAAAATACAATGATCAAGTTGTTGTATCTAAATAACTCCAATGAATATTCAATGATTATCTAATGAATGAATTTACCAAATAAGGACAATTGTTGGAATAGTAAACAACGATAATATAATCTGCAAGTTTCGCCAGTCTGTTACATAGAAACAGATAACTATGAGCAAACAAGTTCCTACCGACCAGTTTATATCTACTATTGTTCCCAACATCTTCATTTTTTTCTCACTAGCAATTTCCGACACTGAAATAATCACCATGGATAAAATCATTAATCACAATTTATTTTTTGTTAGTAGTTCACTAAGAAGAAATAAAAATTTTGTCTAAAGATTTCTTGACTCAAGAATATGTTAAAATGAACAATTTAATATATTAATTTTTTGATAAAAAAAAAATACCAATATCTGTTTCTATTATCATAAGCAAACGAACGGATAGCTTCTTTTTAATTAAAGAAAAATTATTTTAATCATTTCGACCAATTCTTTAAACAAAAATGTATATTATTGGAAATTTTGAAGAATATACATTTTTGTGTCAAGAACATAAAATCTTAAAAGTAGTATTTTTTTTTCTCAGTGTATAAAAAAATGAAGTACGTACTTATTGTGTATCCCGACGAATAAATTGTTGAAACACTAAGTCCAATTAATAATTCACATAAAATATACCCCGAAAACCATGGCACAATTGAAGTTAAAGGTACGGCAATCATTTGTAGAACCAATCCTATTATTATTGCTTTCAATCGTCCATATTTATCTGCGAATACTCCTAAAACTCCGGTACCCAAAAGCTTTCCCAATGAATATACAAAATAGGTATTTGCGCGGTATAATTTTCGATCACAAATCAAGCTCCACTAATAAATACAATTAGAAAATTTTTTTGTATTAATGGTAAAAGATAATAATAAATCATACCTACAATTACTTACTTCATTTACGATCGTTGATTTTCCACTTTTATCAAAAACGAAAGAAGAACAAGGAACAAGACTAGTGTTAAATTTTGAGTCTTCAACATGTTTTACAGCGTTTTCATAGCCTAAATGCCCAAGATATGCATAATTGTAATCATATTTCAAGCATTTGTCTACTGCTAAAATATTTTGTATTTGCTCGCTTGTCCAGTTAGCATCTAACAGTTCTGGAATATAACACCAATGTCCAGGTATCTGAAAAATAAATAATTTGCTTACAAAAAATCATTCACATTATTAAACAATATAATTTGGTGTACTTGCCTCAGCTATGAAGAGATATGACATCGTATGTAGTGCGTTCACTATTGAACTTATGACATTGAGAAGAAAAACAATCCAAAGTAATTTTGAACCTCTTCCTAATTCATCGATTGCTTGTAGAAGGCACTTTTCGTGTATTTTTTCATCTTTTTCATTTTTCATACTTTGAACACTTTTTAGGCGTTACACTTATAAAGTAAAAATAAAAATTGAGAAGTGATATTGAGTAATGATAATGTGAAGTTAAAAAATTTCGCTGATGAATGAAATATGTTCTGATATAAATTTTTACAATCTTAAATGAAAATAGTAATAAATGTATTTTATAAAAAGAAGTGGAACTTTATCATATCATTTCAAGTATATTTTGCGTGTAAATCAAATAACAAGTCATGATAAGCTGCTGTCTAAGAGATGTCACGTGTTAATTAAACACAATTTCTAAACTTGAGATTATAAATTTTAATTGTGATAACTTGATCATTTGAATTGTTTATTGCCAAACCGTAAACTTTTGAACTTTATACATGTAAATTATTTTTAAACTTTCTTTTTTAATATCTACAAAAAATATGATCGTAATTGACGATTATGAGAATTTTATCTACTCAAGGAGAGTTGTCAGTAATTTATTAGTACGAGTTATTAAATAATTGTTTAATTATTCTTAATTAATGTATAATTTTAAAGATAATAATTATGATAGCCTTGTTTTTTTGTCAGATTCTATTTTCGCGGATGGCGGGGCAATGAAACATATGCACTCCAAAATTAAATATCAAAATTTACGCTTGTGTTTACTTCCTTGATAAAGAAGAGGGGTTTAAAATGATTCAAAATGAGTTGAAAGTAGTTTATTTAAATTAAATAAATACTATATAAATATGCATACTGTGTTGGGGTAATATTTTTAATATAATGGTCGATTATAAATAATTTTTTTTTAAAAACAAATGTACAGAAACATCAAATTTATAATTTACTCAGTATTTATTAAGTAAATTTACATTAATTTTTATCGTACAGTTTTTTATTAATTTAAAAAATAGAAATTATAAAAATTATTTATAATACAATTCATTGATTAAACAGGGACAATACAACAAAGAAGCCCTGCGATAAATAGTGCGCCACCGCAAAGCAAAGAAGGTGACCACGGTGCAATTTTACCAAAAAAGTCCACTAGGTATGGCGCTGACATTGATCCAACTTGAGCCATTAACAAACAGCTCCCTAAAGCTGAGTTTCTTACACTTGATGGGAATAATTTCAAAGAAAATAATACATTTGTTGTAAATGTAGAACTTAAACAAAATTTAGATATTATTGTCAATCCTAAAATAATATATACATTGTCGTTGGGAACGGCAATCATTGACACCAAGCAAACCGATGCGATCCAGTAAAGGATAATAGTTGTTTTCTGACTACTCATAAATCTGATAATTACCGAAATTAAGAGAAGAGATGTTATTTGAATAATTACTATTGCTATCATGAATACATATCGATTTACTTTAAAATTATCAACACTGAAAACTGAAACAAAGAAGAAATATTAAGTGAAAATTTATTCATAAAAATCATAATAGGAAGGAGTGAATGTTATAAATACCTAAATAAAAGCTTGTCATCAAGCAAACAAAAAACGAAAAGTACATAATAAGTATTTTTTTTCTAAATATTGGATCAGCGAGGAAAATTCCTATATTTCCAAGATAACGTTTCATACAACTTTCTTGACGCTTTTCTTCAGCCGCGATAGATTGTTTAATCGATAGAGATTTAAGAGGTAAACTTTCGGTAAGGAGACCTGGCGAAATAGATACTTTTCGATACTTTTCTATTATTTTCTGCGCTTCATCAAGACGATTTTGGGATATTAACCAACGTGGTGACTCATCTACAAACCTAAAAAAGTTATTAGTAAATGGTTTTTATATAAGCGTCAATTGGATGAAGATTCAATTTCGTTGGTGACACGACGAAATCTCCCCTCTAAAATTTAATTTCAAATTATAATATTATTATCCCTGACAGTTGTGATGGTCTTTTTCATGTGAATATACATGAAAACCATGATAAAAGGGCACAACGAGATTTTGAAGCGTATTTTGTCGTGGAACCAATTTCGTTATCAAAAACATAAACTTACCACACAAGAATCATTGCTGGAATAGTGAACAATGACATTGAAAATTGTAAATTTCGCCAATCTGTTGTATAGTAAGAGATAATTATAAGAATACCAGTCCCTACACAATAAAATGAATCTACTATAGTTCCCAATAGCTTCATTTTCTTTTCATTGGCAATTTCTGACACTACAATAATCAATAAAATCATTAATTATATCTTCTTTACCCGCATGGAGAAATATATATGTAAAAAATATATGTCGCATATATAATATATATGCCGCATATATTTACGCAAAAAAAAAAAAAATATGTCAACATATATTTTTCACATAGATGCTGACATATATGCAGAAATACATGCTTACATATATGTAGACATATATGTAATCATACACTGAAAAAAAAATTTCTAAGTTTGAGAATTTTTTTACTCAAATCAAAAAAGTTAAATTTTTCAAAATTATTTTCTTGATTCAAGTTAAATTTTTTTCTGTGAATCTCTAGACATTTATATGCGCACATATATGTGAACATATATGCACGCATATATGTTCACATATATCTACGCATATATGTGGACATATATTTAGCGCAAAAAAAATATATGTGAAAATATATATTTGCATATATTTTTCGCATATATATTTTTCCATGCGGGTTTTTTTTATTAGAATAAAAAAAGATGTAATACCTACTAATTGTGTAACCCGATGAAAACATTGTTGCAACGCTAATTCCAGTCATTAGCTTACAAAGAAGATATGCCCAAAACCAGGGAACAACAGAAATTACAGGTGTGGCAATCATTTGTAGAAACAAACCTATTATTAATGCTTTTTTTCTGCCATACTTGTCAGCGAATACTCCCAATCCTCCAAGACCCAAAAGCTTTCCAAATGTATAGATCAAATAAGTACTTGCTCGGTAAAATTGTCGATCACAAATTAAGCTCCACTAATAAAGACAATTAGAAAAATTTTTTTTTATTATTGATAAGAGATAATGATAAATCATACCTCCAATTACTTACTTCATTAACGATTGTTGATTTTTCACTTTTGTCAAAAACGAAGGAAGAACAAGGAACAAGACTAGTGTTAAATAAAAAATCTTCAACATGTTTTCCAGCATTTTCATAGCCTAAGTGCGCAAGATGTGTATAGTTGTAGTCATACATCAGACATCTATCCACTGCTGAAATATTTTGTATTTGTTCATTTGTCCAGTTAGCATCTAACAGTTCTGGAATATGACACCAATGTTCAGGAATCTGAAAAATAAATAAGTTATTTACAAAAAATCAGTCACTTTGTTGAACAATGCTATGTAGTGTACTTACTTCAACTAAGAAGATATACGACATTGTGTGTAATGCGATCACTATTGAATTTGTAACACTGAGAAAAAAAGCTATCCAAACCAATTTTGAACCTTTTCCTAATTCATCGATTGCTTGTAGAAGATATTTTTCTTGTATTTTATTCTTTTCATTCTCCATAGTCTAACGTTAGTGTATAAAAATGGTTATAAATTTGTTAATAGATGAAATAATAAAATTTTATCAAATCTTTTTTATTTTACGATTCTAGTGTAACACACACCTAGAGTCATAACAAGACTATCAGAGAGCTATCACATTAATTAGAGGATATGATAAAGATAAAAAATCAATCTATTATTTAATAAAATTAGAATTTTAACGGATTTATATACTTCTCGGTAATATTTAAACCCACGAGTGGTAAATACGGAACTAAATATTCTACTTAGACCACAAAAAATTGAGATTTCGTAACGTTAAAGATAGATTAAATATTCTTTATTTGTTTACTATCATAAAGATAATGGTTTTGATAATTTTTCGTAAAGTCTTTTATTTCTAAAATTGTGTCTTCTAAATAAAGTCTAGACTGATGCTCGTGAAAAATTAATGTCAAAACTAATGCTTGTATTTGTATAAACTCTGACACATTTTTTTTTGAAATTGGTAGATTATTTAAGCTGCTAAATTTATCAAAAACGAAATTTTAAATTACATTTAAACGATTGAAAAATTAAAATATTAAATTGGCATTTTCTTAAAATTTAAATAATATTTTCATACCTTCGCACTGATGAGAATACTTCAATCGCAAAAAAATTATCACTTTCATGTAAAGAAAAAAAAAAAAAAAAACTTTTGTTGAAATTTTACGGAACCTTTATAATAAATATAATAATTTATTTGTTTATTATGTATGAAAAAAATGATTGTTCAATCACATTAACATCGACTTACATTAATTTTTACAATTTGTGTCTCATCATTTTGATCTGATAATTTGAGTTAATTGAAAATTGTTAATATTAGACAGGAACGATGCAACACAGAAGCCCGGCAATTAAAAGTGTAACACCACAAAGCACAGATGGAGACCACGGAGCAACTTTGCCCAAAAAATCAACCAAGTACGGCGCTGACATTGATCCAGCTTGGGACATTAACAAGCAAGTTCCCAAAGCTGAGTTTCTTACACTCGATGGGAACAATTTTAAAGAAAATAACATATTTGTTGTAAAAGTAGGACTCAAAGTTAATTTAGATATTATTACTGTCAGTCCTACAGTCATATATACATTTTCCTTGGGAATAGCAATCGTGGATAGCAAACAAATCGATGCGATCCAGTAAAGAATAATAGTTGTTTTCTGACTACTCAGAAATTTAAGAATTATTGAAACTGAAAAGAGAGATACGAGCTCAATAATCACCATTGTTATCATAAATACGTAACGATTTACTTTAAAATTGTCAACATTAAAAACTGAAAAAAAAAAAGGGAAATTATTAAACACGTATTTGTCGATAGAAATAATTATAATGAGTAGTAAAATCAACACTTACCCAGATAAAAACATGCCATAAGACAAATGAAGAATGAATAGTACATAATAACTATCTTTTTTCTGTATATTGGATCTGCGAAAAGAATTCCTATATTCCCTAAGTAACGTTCGATGTTTTTTCTTCAGTCACTATAGAATGTTCTATTGGTAACGATGTAAGCGGTAAACTTTCGGTAAGAAGATCTGGCGAAATAGTTACTTTTCGATATTTTTCTATTATTTTTTGCGCCTCGTCAAGACGATTTTGGGATATTAACCAACGGGGTGACTCGTCTACAAACCTAAAAAATTTATCAATTAGAAGTACCGGTTTTGGCCATCTTAGAACCATTTTTGGCCACTCGATATTTTAGCTAATTTATAAAAAATTTAACTATTCAAGTAGAATTTTTATAGAATTTATGAATTAGTACATTTATACGAATTGAATTCATAAAGTCTTGCGCTTATAGAAACATTTATACAATAATTTGAAAATAAGGTGGCTACAAACGCTACTTCTTCTCTATAAGCATCAATTGGATAAAGGACATAAACTTACCACACAAGAATAATTGCTGGAATAGTGAACAATGACATTGCAATTTGTAAATTCCGCCAATTTGTTATAAAGTAAGAGAGAGTTATGAGCAAACAAGTTCCCATACAATAAAATGCATCTACTACAGTTCCCACTATCTTCATTTTTTTTTCATTAGCAATTTCTGACACTAGTAATAAAAAATCATTAATTAAAACTTATTTTTTTTTTTAATAAAAAAAATGTAGTAAGTACCGATTGTGTACCCCGATGAATACATTGCAGCAATACTGAGTCCAATCAATAGTTCACAAACTAAATAAGCCCAAAACCAGGGAACAATTGAACTTAAAGGTACAGCAATAGTTTGCAGGATTAAAGCAATTATTAATGTTTTCTTCCTTCCATACTTGTCAGCGAACACTCCCAATCCTCCAAGACCCAAGAGTTTTCCAAATGAATATACAAAATAGGTATTTGCGCGGTATAATTGTCGATCACAAATCAAGCTCCACTAATAAATACAATTAGAAAATTTTTTTGCATTAATGGTGAAAGATAATAATAAATCATACCTACAATTACTTACTTCATTCACGATTGTTGATTTTCTACTTTTTGTCAAAAACAAACGAAGAACAAGAAACAAGACTAGTGTTAAATTTCGAGTCTTCAATATGCTTTCCAGCGTTTTCGTAATTTACTAACGCAAGATGTGTATAATTGTAATCATACTTCAGGCATCTATCCACTGCTGAAATACTTTGTACTTGCTCGGCTGTCCAGTTAGCATCTAATAGTTCTGGAATATGGCACCAATACTCAGGTATCTAGAAAATAAATCATTCATTAGTGAAAAATATTTTTTTTTTTATTGTACAATCTCATTTGGAATACAAACTTCAGCTATGAAAATATAGGACATCGTATGCATGGATTTTAATATAAAGCTCATAACACACTGAGAGAAAACACAATCCAAAGTAATTTTGAACCTTTTCCTAATTCGTTGATTGCTTCTTGAAGGTACTTTTCCTGTATTTTTTTATCTTCTTTATTTTCCATTGTTTATCAGGTTTTAATTCTTTCATTTAAAAAGTATGATTCTAGTAAAAATTACACAAAATTTTATAAAACCTTACAATTTGGGAAATATTACGCGATTAATAAAGCACACAATGAAAATCTATCATTAATATCAATCACTTTGTGTAATTTAATAAAAAAATTCTAATTTCAACTGAATAATATTTTTAAATAATATTCGTGCTCACGCGTACTGAATACAGAACTAAATATTAATCTACCGTTTAGAACCTGGAAAAAATCGACTTTCGTCACTTTCGAGATAATTAAACTATTATTCTTCATTTGTCCATTATCATAAAGATAATAGTTTGATAATCTTTTATAAGGTCTGTTGTTTTCAAAGCAGACTTGTTTAATCAAAACGCTACTCGTAAAAGAAAGCCATGTCAAAAGTAATGCTTGTTTTTTTCTAAACTCTGACTTAATAATATGTTCATCCTAAATTTTTCAGAAAATAAAGATATAAATATGTTTGAAACATTAAAAAATTGGCTTATACAAGTAACATAAAAATCTTAAAAAAAAATTTTTTCAAGGAGATGTAATTCTTATCATTTTTCCGTATCTTTAAATTTTATTAAAAATTTGATATTTAAATCGTTACAAATCATTCCTTAACAGAAATAGTGCAGCATAAAAGTCCAGCTAAAAGTGTCAAAAGACCACAGATACTCGTTGGAGCCCACCAAGCTACTTTGCTTAATAAATCCACAAAAAAAGGTGCTCCCATGGTGCCAATCTGCCCCATAACAAAACTAGTTCCGAATGCTGTGTTTCTCACTCCTGGAGGAAATAATTCTGAAGCAAATAACATGTTGGTTGTATAATTCGCTGTCAAACAAAACTTGGAAATTACTGTCATTACTATAATTATGGTCATATTCGCCTTGGGAATGAACGTAATTGTTAGCATACAAATCGACACGAAGAAATAAATAGCAATAGTTGCTTTTTTAGCGCTCAAAAACATGAGGATAACTGAAGTTGTCATAAGTGCTAATACTTCACCACTTGCTGTAGACGCCATGTATATGTAACGATTAGCTTGAAACGTATCAATACTGAAGACTATAATTAAAAAAAAAAATTACTATAGTTATTAGAGAAAAAATTAACAAATATCGACGTTCTAATTAGCAAATTGTCTAACTCCATTTTAGAAAATCTTCCATTTGTACGATAAAATAATTAGTAAAAAATTGATTATCTCTTTAAAAAACCATTTAATATCTATTAAAAGTACAATATTTTGGTTTGAATCATTGACATAATTTATAATTGAACAATTGATACATCAGAATGTTAAAAAATCACCCTCTACAAAATAATAAGTTAGACCAATTGCTAATTAGACCGTCGATATTATAAAAAATTTATTTTTTTTAACTAACCCAAACAATAACTGACAGAAATAGAAACGAAAAACGAATAATACATAGTAAACAATTTCTTTCGCAAATTTGAATTAGTAAGAAGAATTTTCATACTTTTGAAGTAACGTTCAATTAAATATTTACGTTGTTTTTTTCTTTTTGTTTCAGCTTGTGAAAATGGTAATGGAAGATTAGAACTTCCGGCTATGAGTGCTGGCGTAACGATTATTTTACGGTATTTTTCTATTATTTTTTGTGCTTCATCATAACGTTTTTGAGAAATAAGCCACCTAGGTGACTCTGGAATGAACCTGAAATTCAAAAGTAGTAGATATTAAATAACCAAAAAGATTTATCAATTCAAAGAATTTTATGGACCAACCAAACGAGAATGATCATTGGAATGGTAAATATTGTTAATGCCAGTTGAAATTGTCGCCAATCCAACATAAAATAAGCTATACTTAAAACGACCCAAGTTCCGACAGGATATTGAATATCAAAAATAGTCCCAAGAATTTTTCTTTTTTTGTCCACTGCAACTTCCGATACTGCGATAAAATTATCAGTTATAAATATTAATTTCTTTATCTAATTTGTATAAATAACTTCTTACGAATTGTGTATGATGATGAATATAAAGATCCTGTACTCATTCCAGTAATAAGTTTGAAAAAAATAAAAGCCCAATACCACGGTACCAATCCACTAGACGGAACGGCGATTATTTGCAGTAATAAAGCAATTATTATTGCTTTTTTTCTTCCGTATTTGTCAGCGTATATTCCCAGAAATCCATTTCCCAAAAGTCTTCCTAGTGCATAAGTAGAAAAGGTATTTCCTCGATATAAATATTTATCGCAGACTAATTCCCACTATTAGGCAATAATATAAATTAAAATTGTTATAAATCATAAATATCAGTAATTAATAGCGCTATCAAATACTTACTTCATTAACAATCGTCGACCTTTCACTGTTGTCAAAAACAAACGATAAACAAGGAACAATACTTGTATTCTGTTTCAGATCTTTCACATATTCTTCAGCGTCTTCATATTTTAAATTTGCCAGATTTTTATAATTATAATCATATATATGACACTCATCAACTGTAGAAATATTTTTTATCTCCTCGATTGTCCAGTTGGACTTTTGAAGTTCTTTAATGGAACACCAGTGTTCAGGTATCTAAAAAATATAATCTCATATTTTTCCAATTCGAATTTAGATATTTATTGAAATATTGTACGAACCTCAGAGATAAATACGTAAGACATTGAATGCATGCCATTTAAAAATGGTGCGATGATACTGGTGATAAAAACTATCCAAAGAAGTTTTGAACTTTCTCCAAGTTCGTCCAAGACTCTCAGAAGACATTTTTCTTTTATTTTATCATTTTCTTCAAATTCCATTACTCTACCACATATCTTTGATGAATCTCTGATAAATTTCTCTTAAAAATATTAAAGTAACTCGTATTAACTGTCAAAAGATTACAGATTGTAACTCAATTATCGCGATAAAAAAATTACTAAAAATATGATTAAGATATCAAATTTATGTTAAACTATAACTAAATACCTTGATAACGTTAATTGTTGATTATGTAAATAGCTTTTTATTCTTAATGTTTTTTTTATCTGTTGAAATAAGACACATGTTCGGCTGGTGATTTCACATGCGAATATCGGTTTAATCTTAATACTTTTATAATTTCTTTACTGATTATTGTAATTATTATTACCTACTGTCTCATGTTTTTCATTCTTACAACTTTTATATTTATATTGAAATTCAGCATTTGAAAGCGCGATAATTGTTTTTTTTTTTTTTTTTTTTTGCAGAAATTAAAAAAAATACAATTTAGAGCCTAAATTACAAAAAAAAAAAAAAAAAAAAAAAAACACTAAGTTCGGCTCTATGAAGGGATAACTTGTCAGTACAACTCAATTTTGAATTATAAATTTATATATAAAAATATACATATTTGTTAAATTATGAAAAATATTATAATAATTTAATGCATGCATTTAATGCCTGCAGGCACAATACAAATTTAATATATTCTTTCTATTAAAAATTTGCGACTTAAATCTTTACAAATGATATTCTTTAAATAGAAATAATGGAACAAAAGAATCCAGCTAAAAGTATCAAAATACCGCAAAGACTCATTGGAGCCCACCAAGCTACTTCGCTCAGTAAATCTACGAAATAAGGTGCTCCCATGGTGCCTATTTGCCCCACAACTAAGCTAGTTCCAAATGCGGTGTTCCTAACACCTGGAGGAAATAATTCTGAAGCAAATAACATGGTGGTCGTAAAACTTGCTGTTAAACAAAACTTAGAAATCACTGTGAGTCCCATAATTATGTTGATGTTTACTTTCGGAATGGCTACAATCGTTAGTAGACAAGTTGCCGCGAAGAGATAAATAGAAATAGTTGCTCTTTTAGAGCTTAAAAATAGAAGGATAACTGAAGTTGTCAAAAGTGCCACCACCTGAGTAGCTGCTACAGATGCCATATAAATGTAACGATTGGCTTTAAAAGTATCAATACTGAAGACTAAAATGAAAAAAATAGAAATTCACTGAATTGTAATAATTATTATCAGAGTTGAAATTTTTTTTTTACTTACCCAAACAATAGCTAACAGAAATAGTCACGAAGAACAAGTAATACATTGTTAACAATTTATTTCGTAAATTTGGATCTAAGAAAAGAATTTTCACACTTTTAAAATATTGTTGAGTTGAATTTTTATCTTTTTTATTCTTTTTTATTTCAACTTCTGAAGATGGTGTTGCAATCAGCGCTGGTGTAATGAAAACTTTCCGATATTTTTCTATTATTTTTTGTGCTTCATCATAGCGATTCTGAGAAATAAGCCACCTTGGCGACTCTGGAATGAACCTGAAAATAAAAAATTTTAGTTATCAAATAATTAAAATACTAATAAATCAAGTAAATATAAATTTACCAAACAAAAATAATCATTGGAATGGTAAATAATGTTAATGCCAGTTGTAAGTTTCTCCAATCATACAGAAAGTATGATATACTTAAAACGATCCAAGTGGCAATAGGGTATTGAATATCGAAAAAAGTCCCAAGAAGTTTTCTTCTTTTATCGACTGCAACTTCCGATACTGCGGTACATAAAAATACCCATTATTAATATTTTATTTTTTATTAATTTAACTGGTCAATAATTGGTAATTTACTTCATACCGTAGTATTAATAATTTCTTACAAAGTGTATATGCCGATGAATAAGAAGCGCCCACACTTATGCCAATTATAAGTTTACAAAAAACAAAAGCCCAATACCATGGTAATACAGCACTTGCCGGTACTGCAATTATTTGTAAGATCAATCCAATTATTAATGCTTTTTTTCTTCCGTATTTATCAGAATATATCCCCAAAAATCCATTTCCCAATAGTCTTCCTAGTACATAAGCGGAAAAGATATTTCCTCGATATAAATATTTATCGCAGACTAATTCCCACTAGGCAATAATATAAATTAAAATTGTTATAAATCATGTTTCATAGTAATTAATATCGCTATCAAATACTTACTTCATTAACAATCGTCGACCTTTTACTGATGTCAAAAACGAACGATAAACAAGGAATGATACTTGTATTGTGTTTCAGATCTTTCACATATTCTTCGGCGTCTTCATATTTCAAATTTGCCAAATTTGTATAATTATAATCATATATATGACACTCATTAACTCTAGAAATATTTTTTATCTCCTCGGCTGTCCAGTTGGACTTTTGAAGTTCTTTGATGGAACACCAGTGTTCGGGTATCTAAAAAATATAGGACAGAAGTAACGTTTATGGTCATCTTAGCACCATTTTTGGCCAGTTAACATTTGAATTAATTTATAAAAAATTATAATATTATAACCATATCTTTGTTGAGTTTCAAAAAATTTATAATAAAACAAATTGAGTTTGTAATGGTTTATTAATATAAATTTATTTCTATCGTTTATTCAAACAATAAATGACCACAAACGGTACTTCTACTCTAATCTCATATTTTTCCAATTCAAATTTAGTTATTTATTGAAATATTGTACAAACCTCAGAGACAAATACATAAGACATTGAATGTATTCCGCTTATAAGTGGTGCTAATATACTAGCAGTAAAAACCATCCAAAGAAGTTTTGAACCTTCTCCAAGTTCATCTAGAACTCTCAGAAGACACTTTTCTTTTATTTTTTTATTTTCTTCACTTTCCATTTTTTTATAGCATATTTTTAATAAATTCCGAATATATTCCACTCAAAAAATACGACCAAAATAATTCACAACTGTCAAAAGACTTAAGATGTTAAATTATAAAGCAATAAAAAATGCGATTAAGATATTAAGTTTTTGCTAAACTGTTATTAAATCTCTTGATAACGCTAATTGTTGAGTATATGAATAAATTTAATTTTTTTATTGGTAGAGATAAGACACATGTGCGACAGGTGAATTTATCTACGAATCTAAATTTTATCTTTTATTTCATAATTGTATGTGTTCATAATATTTAATAATTTGATATAGTGATGATGACTAAAAAAAGTTTCCATTGAAAAAAGTTTCTTGGATAATAAATGCTGTATAAGCGAATTAAAGATGCGGAATCAGCATGCCAACAAATTCCATTACTCTTTTTTAAAAGAAGAAGAAAATACTTTTACAGAAGTTTGGATAACAATATTGTTGAGATAAATGAATTTATTTATATAGTTTAAAAAAAATGTGTTAAATTGGGTAGAAGTATTTTAAATGAAAAAAACAATATACATACGTAATTTAAATCAAATATGTTTATCAAATATACATTAATCGTATCCGTTAAAATGACGTATTTATTGAATATGATGATACTAATATTGCACGCCTCATTTTTGGTATTACAATCGAATCAACATATTTATGAAAATTTTTATCTATATGATATATGATAATAAAAAAAATTATATAATATGTGATTAGACAATTTTTCTAATCAATCTGTTTGTTAGAAATTACGATATAAATTCAGGAAAATTTTTTATTAATCAAAACACTACGGGAATTAATAAAATAATAACTTTTAATAATCACAAAAAAAGTTTGGAAAATCCAAAAGTGCACGCCTCATAATCTCATTTTTTAAAATAAAATTGATTAAAATAAAATATAAAAAGCAGAAAACACTGCTATGGTTTAGTGGCGCCATAACTGCAAGGTGAGGAAACAATAGTATTTTTCTTACCTGGGGCAGGAAAATAAGAAATGTCTCAGATTACATGTAATTGTTGACCGAGGCGAAGCCGAGGTCGACAAACATGTGATCTGAGGCTTTCTTATTTCCTGTCCGTGGTGAGAATACTATTTTTCTCCTCGACGGAGGCGGAAAGCGGCATTTTCGTTTAGCGCAGCAAGCAGAAAATTGACGCTTTCCACACGGAGGGGAGAAAAATACTATAATAAAATGTATAGATAGAAATACAAAAAAATCCACAGTCATATATTAGTTTTTTATAAATAATAATTTAACGACAGTGAATTGAACGCTCATATTAACTAAGAAATTCTGTCGTGTGTTACTTTAGATAATTAAAAAAAAATTATTCCGGTACGATCATTTTTTCGACCAATTTCCCTGCCACATACACCCATTCATACACGGATGTCCAAAAAAGATTATGTTTAATGTTATTATTTATTATGTTAAACAAAAAAATTGTTATTGAAATATATTTTATGTGCCTGAAAAATTATTTGACTTGACATAAGTGTACTCATTTTAACCTGTAAGTGCGATATAAATAACAAAAAATCAATTTCAGTTTCGAGAAAACTGCTTTTTTCGAAATGTCGAGAGTAGAGCACAACCTCAACGCTTCGCTTATGAGGTGTGCAATTCATAATTATAAATCTCATAAATTAAGCAAAATCTGTTAATATATCAAATTATACTAATTAGAGTGGAATAAAGCAACAAATAAATCCTGCAATTAGTGTTAAAATACCATAGAGACAAGTTGGAGCCCACGGAGCAACACCACCTAGTAAGCCAACAACATAAGGAGCACTCATGGTTCCAATTTGAGCAATTACCAAGCTTGTTCCAAAAGCTGAATTTCTTACATGTGGAGGAAAGAGTTCTGAAGAAAGTAACATGTTTGTGGTACAGCACGCCGATAAGAAAAATTTCGACAGTAATGTCATTCCTATAATTACATTGATATTGGCTCTGGGAATCGCTATAATCGATAACATACATGTCGATGCGATCCAATAAATGGTGATGGCTGCTCTTTTACAGGATAGAAAAAGTAAAATCACTGGAACTGTAAAAAGTGCCAGGATTTCAGTACTCGCTGTTATTGCCATGTAAATATAACGATTCGTGTCGAAGGTGTCAATACTGAAGACTGAAATAAAAGTTAAAAGTTATTTATATGTGAATACTTGAACAGGAAATAATGAAAAAAAATTTTTTTCACTTACTGAGACAATATCCAACCGAAATAGAAACAAAAAATGAAAAATACATAATAAGTATTTTTCTTCTTAAAATTGAATCAGAGAAGAGGATATTCATACTTCCAAAATATTGTTTTATGCTTTTCTTTTTTTTATTGTTTGGTGCAGTACTTTCTTCTAATTGTGGTTGAAATACAAATGTTAAATTTGCTGCAGTAGGAGACGATTTAATCGAAACTTCATTGTATTTGTCCAATATTTTTTGCGCCTTTACGTGATAATTTTGAGAAATTAACCATCTGGGAGATTCAGGAATAAACCTGTGGAATTTTTAAATTTTAATTCATCACATGAACAATATAAAATATAAATTGAAATTTACCATATGAGAATGCTTATTGGAATAGTAAACAATGATAATGTTATTTGTAAATATCTCCACTCTGTTATGAAATAAGCGATACTTAAAACGGTGACTGTCCCAACAGGATACAGAATATCAACAGTAGTCCCTAAAACCTTTCTTCTCGTATCAACAGTGACTTCCGACACTGTAATTTTAACAATAGTTAGATTTAATTGAGATAATAATAACATAAAAGCTTTCATTACTTCATAAATTAGTTCTTACAAAGTGTATATGCAGATGAATACATAGCACCCACACTCATCCCAGTGAGAAGTTTAAAAAACATATAAGCCCAATACCACGGGACTAAAGCACTTGAAGGCACGGCGATTATTTGTAAAATTAATCCAATTACCAATGCTTTTTTTCTTCCATACTTGTCAGCATAAATTCCCAAAAATCCATTACCCAAAAGCCTGCCAAACGCATATACAAAAAATATACTTTCGCGGTATAATTTCTTATCGCAAACTAAATCCCACTGACCAAGAAAAAAAATAAAAATATTTATTATCTATAACAATGATGGTATAAGTTGGATAATTACCTCGTTAACAATTGTTGACCTTCCGTTTTTATCATAAGCAAATGAAGGACAAGGAACGACGCTTGCATTGAATTTCATATCTTTCACATATTTTTCCGCATCTTCATACTTTAAATCCGCAAGATCTTGATAGTTAAAATTATAAATATGACATTCATCTACTTGAGAAATATTTTTTATCTGTTTAGCTGACCAATTCGATTTTTGAAGTTCCGGTATCGAGCACCAATGTGCGGGAATCTGAAAAAAATATAAATATCGGTTATGAGATAATATATTATGTGTTATTGAATTTTCTGGGAAAAATTTACTTACCTCAGCAATAAAAACATACGACATTGAGTGCAAACCGTTTACGAGCGAGGTTGTGATGCTTACAACAAACACAATCCAAAGAAATTTAGAACCTTGGCCAAGTTTATCCAAAATTTGTAAAAGACACATCTCTTCCACTTTCTTAGTTTCATTCTCTGCCATGGTGTGGTTTAATACTGACAATTGTTACGCCAATACGCTTTTTAATAAAAGAAAAAACTAATTTTTATTATTCGTCTAATTATAATATTTACTTATGTCAATATGACAATATCATACTTGATTGCACTCGGTTAACGAGTAAAAAGACAAAATTCAAGATAAGACAAGTGATTTATACATTTTTAGAAATAAATTTCATCCTAATAATTCAGTAATTTAAATTTCGCGTGTTAAATTATCCTGATTACAAAAAATAATTTGATAAGTTTATTTTTGTTTATTTTCAAAATCTCATGTGACTAAAAATTATTTAAAAGTATTAAAAATTTTCAATATTATCGAAAACTTTTCAATAATATTTTCAGAATAAAAATTTATTTAGAATTATTAAAAGTTTTTAAACCTATCAAATCATTTTATTTAATTAGAGTAACATCACATACGCTTAGTTTCTATATTTTGAATTTATTATCACATTATTTTATTGCAATACTTATAAAATAAGCGAGGTTATTTTTTTTACTAATACAATATTTTTACTGTCTTTTTGTATAAATATAAGACTAGATATTCTTTACGCTTGTATGTACGTAAGTTAACTAGCTTGTGAACGTCTGAAAGCGACTGGTATGTTGAGCCTTGAATAAGTTATCTATACTGGATTAAAATAAATGTCTTTCGCTCCCTTCTCTTACGTAGAGATATGCTGCGAGAAGTAAATGCAGATCTAACACAAAAAAATGTTTACTTATATTAATTGCGAATATTATCAAAATCTTTACTTTGTAGTTTTTTAAATTTTTATGTACACAAATTTTCTCTATAAGATATGTATATATATGTAATAAAATTTGTTAATATAGTTTTGTTTATCACTAAGAATATCTTGACAAATGTTTCATGTTAAACTTTCAAGTAACTTGAAGCAATAAATTATTCGTAAAATTTTCTGAATTATTTCGCTTAAATTGTGATGGAAAATTTAGTGATAAAGTTTTTGAATTTCCAGTAGAATAGAGTAGAGCGAGTTGATCCTAGGGGCAAGTTGTGCAACTGTATAATTGCCGTCCGATGCTCCGATAAAATTAGAGAACATTTATTTTTTTTAAGCGTCAGAAAAAAAATCCAGCCTTTAAAATTTTTCTTTTGTACTCGTATAAAACAACTTATGTGTGATCACATAAAGATTCAAAAATTACTTAATTATTGCTCTTTTTATTGTAGATGGTTATTTATTTTTTTACAACCGAATATTTTATTTTATTAGTTGTGCAATGCAATTCAATAAAAAATTATCAATTTCCCAAAAACAATTTATTACTTTTGATATTCCTGAACATACAGCCTGAGTAATTAATTTTTTTGAGGTAATAAAATGCAAAACAATGCTGCAATGAGAGCTAAAATACCGCACAAAGTTGTTGGAGTCCACCATGCAACGTTACCAAGCAAATCAACGATAAATGGCGCCGATGTTGAACCCAACTGGACCATTATTAGACTAGTACCTAACGCTGAATTTTTAACAGTACTGGGAAATAACTCCGCGACTAATAATAAATTAATGGTGTAAGTTGCTGCTGTTAGAAATTTACCAAATAAAGCTAATCCTATTATTGTATTTTTGTCTTCTTCAGGGACCGCTAGTAGCCCCATCATCACAATGAATACATTTATAAGGATTATGATATTTGCTTTCCGACAACTTAGAAACATCAGAACCATTGAAACTGCCATATGCGACAGTAATTCATTGACAACAACGATTGACATATAAATGTAGCGATCTGTTTTGAAGTTATCAATACTGAAGACTAAAATGGTGAGAAAAAGTTATTAGATTGATACATTTTTACAAATTAAAGATACCAAAAAAAGTATTAAGCTTGTTACCAAGTGAATATGAAACTGCTGCCGTTGCATACGCTATGAAATACACAATTAAAATATTCTTTCTTAATATAGAATCCGAAAACAAAATTTTTAAGCTTTCAAAGTCGCGATTGAAGAAAGACGTTTTTTCTTTTAATTTTGTTGGAGTTTCTGGTGGTGGCTTAGTTGATAAATTTTCAATTGTCATACAAATCGGTATTGTAACTGTTGAACCACAATATTTCTGGATTATTTTTTGGGCTTCATCATGTCGACCTTGTGAAATAAGCCACCGAGGAGACTCTGGTACAAACCTACAATAATAAACATTCAAGTATGTATAATGATTTGCACAAGCAATATATGTTATTTGGTTACCAAACTAGAATAATCGCTGGAAGAACGAAACATGACAATGCCAATTGTAAATTCCTCCAATGTGGGATCAAGTAAGCCGTAAGTACGAGACAAAAAATTCCCAGTGCATAAATGCACTCAATTGCAGCTACCAGGAGCTTTCTTTTACGATTGTTTGTTGCTTCTGACACTGTAGATTGAAATAATTATTAATAAACCATCAATTATTCATCGGTATCAATTATTTCTTACTTAAAGTGTATGCTGATGAATACATGGCGCCCAAACCAACTCCAGTTATAAATCTGAGAACAAGATATTCCCAAAACCCCGGTACTAATGCGCTAGCGGGTTCAGCAATAATTTGCAAAAATATACTAATAATCAGTGAGTATTTTCTCCCGTAAAGATCTGCATAAACTCCGAATATTCCTAATCCACACATTTTTCCTAGGACGTACACTACATATGTGTTGGCTCGATAGAGTTTTTTTTCACACACCAATTGCCACTAAAAATAAAATATTAATTAAATGTTCTTTATTACCAGTACAAGGTACTGTATAATATTTGGATTTTCATACATACTTCATTGACAATTGATGATCTTCCAGTCTCATTGAACATAAACGTTTTACAGGAAATAATACTTGGCATAAATTCATAACCATTTACATATTCTATAGCTTCATCGTATTTTAAATTGGTTAGATATGTGTAATTATGATCATATTGATGGCATTCGTCAGCTTTAGAGATCTTCTTGATTTGATCAAATGTCCAATTTGTGTTGACAAGATCCGAAACTGAACATCGAAATTCGGGTATCTTAAAAAAAAAAACTTTTGATGAAAATAAAAACAAACAATGAAGGATACTTTAATTTTTTTTCAGTCAAAGACTAATCAACTAAAAACTCTTCAAAGTCATCATTTTGCATATTTCTTCATTTAGATTGTGTACAAACCTCAGCTAAAAAAACATAAGATAATGAATTAATTCCATTTAACAGTGATGCCATAGCAGCAACCGAAAAAATAATCCAAATAAATGTGTTCTTCTTCTCAAGTTCACCCAATGCGCGCAGAAGATCTGTTTCTTGTGATACTTTTTGCTCTTTGTCATTCATTTTAATAAAAAATTATATTAATAATAATTTATATAAAGATTTATGTTTATTACAAACGTAAATAAATTTGTGCCTTAATTATATAATATTATAGACTTAAATATCACTCACAACACTATAAATTTGGTATGGTTAAGCAACAATGTCTATTCAAGTTCATGCTACTAGTGTAACTACTGTTTAAATATTTAGAGAAGAAAATTAAACATTTAAGTGCAGAAAACTTGTCAAACTAGTTTTATTACTATACCAAGCATAAAATTATTCTGACGTAATTGAGAAAAAATGTATCATATTAATGATAAAAGAAATAAAACAACTATTTATCACAAATGTCCACTTAAAATAGTATAAAGATATTTACTAAACAAGCCGATAGAGGCTTGCACTCTGTTACAGGTGTACAAATTGGAATCCGTGGTTGAGTGAAGTATAGAGGTAATACTTTGCGCGAGTTATTTAATTTATTAAAAAAAAAGATCTGTTGTTAATAACAATAACGCACTTTATTAAAATAACATTAATTTTTTTCAGGTAATAGAAAACAAAGGAAATCAGCAACTAGCGCTAAGATGCCACTAAGTGTTGTAGGTGTCCACCAGGCATTATTTCCAAGGAAATCAACAATGTACGTAGCAGTCATAGAACCTAACTGCGATGCTATTAAACAAGTACCGAATCCTGAATTCTTCACATTACTAGGAAATAATTCGGCAACCAGTAACATAAGATTCATATAACTTGCTAGTGAAAAAAATTTACCGAATAATGCTAGTCCTACAATTATCTTCTTACCATCTTCAGGTACCACTGAAATTGTCATCATTAAAAGGAATACATTTGTGCAGACTATAATATTTATTTTTCGGCAACTTAAGAACATCTGGATGACAGTAACCGCTGCATAAGACATCAATTCGATGACGCTTATGAGTATCATGTAAATGTACCGGTCTGTTTTGAAATTATCAATATTGAAGACTGGAATAAAAAGTATAAAATTTATTTAGCTTGAATTGTTAAAGATCTTCAGAAGAATAATTAAAATTATTACCAAGGGTATAAATTATTGTTGATGTTGCATAACAGAGGAAATACATGATCAAAATATTTTTTCTTATGGTTGAATCTAAAAACAGAATTTTCAAACTTTCAATATTGCGGCTGAAGAAACTTGCATTGTCTTTCAAGGTTACAAAAACTTCTGGTGGCGATCCAACTGTTGCATTTTCTGTCATACAAGTTGGTGTCGTGAGAGTTGAACCACAGTACTTTTGGATTATTTTTTGGGCTTCATCATACCGTCTTTGTGAGATAAGCCACCGAGGAGAGTCGGGTAAAAACCTGGATAATGGAGAAAAAATTTTTTTTAATAAAAAATTCTGTTAATAAGTATTAATATATATTATATATACATATACCAAATAAGAATGATTATCGGAAGAACAAAACTTGATAGTGTTAATTGTAAGATCCTCCAATCTGGTATAAAATAAGCTAAGCCAACCAGAAAAAAAGTTCCAATTGCATGCATGCATTCAACCAGAGCTACAAATACTTTTCTTTTACGTTTTGTAACAGCTTCTGTCACTATAAATTAAAAAAAAAACAATTAATATTGAATTCTTCTTATAAGAGTATAACTTATTCCTCACTTAAAGTGTATGCTGATGAGTACGTCGCACTCACACTGATCCCAGTAAGGAATTTGAGAAGAATATACCCCTAAAACCATGACACTGCTCCGCTTGCCGGTGAAGCAATACTTAGTAGTATTATACTGATAATTAATGCGCTTCTCCGTCCATATTTATCTGAATATATTCCTAGAATTCCATAGCCAGTAATTCTTCCTAGCACAAACACTAAAAATGTGTTTGATCGAAGTACTTTATTACTACAGACTAACTCCCACTCGAAAATAAATAAAAAATATTAAAATATTATGTATGAGTTACTAGGAGATTTTATGTGAGAAACATACCTCATTAACAATTGTTGAATGTCCATTCTCGTTGAACATAAATGATGAACACGAGACTTTCTTCGGCATAAATTCATACTCCTCCACATATTCTTGGGCTCTACTGTATCCTAGGCTTGCAAGATATGTGTAGTTGAAATCAAAAATATTGCAATCGTCGGCCGAAGAAATATTTCTTATTTGATCGGTTGTCCAGTTATCATTTACAAGTTCAGGTATAGCACACCAAAATTTAGGAATCTTCAAAACATATAATTTATTAATATTTCAAAATTTTAGATTAATGAATTCATTTAATACAATATAAACCTCAGCCATAAAAACATAAGACACTGAATTCATTCCATTTATTAGAGAAGCTACAGCACAGAGCAAAAAAATAGTCCAAGTGAATAATTTTTTTTTTTCAAGCTCATCTAACATTTCCAGAAGATAAAATTCTTTTGATTGTTTTTTAGATTTATCCTCCATTGTTAGACTAAATTATTTGAACAGTAATATCCACGGAAATAAATAATTTTTGTTATAATTACTTATAGTATCTTAAAAAAAAAATTATAACTCAAGACTAAGTTATTAATACACAGATATAAAAACTCTGAGCAACTGAACTACTCAGATTTCTTTTATAAGTTGAACTAACGTTTTAATTTAATAAAAAGAAGTTAAGATGTAACTGAACGTATGAAAAAATCAAATATTTTATTGGCTAATTGAAAAATAAATTATATGCATGTGATAACACTTCATTTGAATAAATTCTACTGCATTATAAAACATTTTTAATTAACGTTAAAACATGATTTAAAAAATCTGCTAATTTTTTAAATTTTTACGACAAATCCATGATAAAAAAAAAATATTATTAAAAAATTTGCACTTGTAATTTTTCTTAATTTCCAGATGTAAATTTTTTCACAATAATTTAGTTGTTATAAAAATCCAAAAAACTGACAGGTGTATGTTAATTTCAGTATCAATATAATATACGAAAGTATAATACAAAAAATATTTAGCGCCGAGGTATTTCAATTTCGTCTATAAAATATATAAAATATGTAAATAGAAAATACAGTGACATTATGTTTTAATAAAAAATCCAATCAACTCTTCAAACAAGGAATCATTTGTAAGTTATAACACTTAATTAAAATAAATTTCACAACATCTATTAGTTTGTGTAATTGACTCACACGTAATTCAATATATTAAAATTATACAAATATTTTTAATTGATGTACCCGTGTAAAAAAAATCGTCTTAAAATTCAACAAAAAAAATTCCGAGATTTTTAACAATTATTTTGATTTTCTTAAGACTATTTTAAGATTTAAAGACTATTTAAGATAATTTTGAGACAATTTAAAGACGCTCCATAATAATTTTTCGGAGCTGTCACTGTGATGTCATCTGAGTGACTATTTTAAGATTTTTCAAGACTATTTAAAAATTATTTTAAAACTTAAATCTTAAAATAGTCTTAAAAAAATCTCATAATAGTCTTAAAAAAATCATTAAAAAATTTTCAGACTGTGTTTTATGGATTATTATAGGGCGTCTTAAAATAGTCTCAAAATGATCTTAAAAAAGTCATAAAATTGTTCAATAACAATTTAAAATTCAATTTAAAAACATCTTACTCAAAAATATTGCGGTTAGAAAGTCGTAAAATCATCTAAAAATTAATTTTCACAACAAATTCGAGAACAAAATTTTCAAAAATCTGCTCTCGGAATTTTTCTTTTAGCGTCTTAAAAGAGTCTTAAAATAGTCTTAGTTTGTGTAACGTTTAAGATCTTAAACGAACGACAATTTTAAGACGATTTTTTTTTACACGGGTATTTATTATTTAGAAATAAATTATTACTATTAATTTTTTCATTAAAATTATAAGTAAAGTTATTTAGAAAGCAAAAATATGTTAATATTTACAAAAATACTCGTAACAATTACTTTTTTAAAATTGATAAATTTGAACAGCGCCATCTATTAAAAAATTCCCGCCGCCAGAACTAATCCAACTATTTCTCCGAGATCTTCCATGACAGCAAATAATGTTAGAGATCTAACGGGATAAACCAATCACATTTTACCTGCTTACCTGCAGTGTAAAGTTGTAAAGTCCGACTTTTATTGTGAATGAGACTTGATGTAAAAAATAATTATCTTCGTTGTGTCAGCACCATTATTGTGAACAAACATATGTGTAACACACCTACATTGACAGACATATTTATGTGTGTATGCATTCAACATCTTTGGCACACATGGTTGTAGGATGAATACCAGCGCCTCTAGTGACACCAGCGGACTCAATAAACTCACGTACGGAAGATTTGGGTTTTCCTGCCGCCTGCCGCGATCAGTTGCCACATAGCGCCCGAATAGCGCCGAGCTGGGTCTCATAGTTTTGTTGTTACTATTATTTACGGTGCATGTACTGTTCTAATACAAATGTTTTGGATGATACACAATTTTTCCAGACAGTGGATTTAATGCGATAAACAGGCACTATTTTTAATTATTTAAAATAAGTAATCAGTTTTTTAAATGCATATTTTTAAAATATCGTGACCGTCAATCAAATGTAAAGGTTTAAAGTGCGGTTTTTTTATCAGTGACTTTAAAATTGAGTTTTACTATTTTTACTTTTGTTATTAGCAACAAGTTGACAGTTGAATAATAAAATAATAAGTCGTTTGTTAACTTGTTTTTAAAATGTATTCAGACGGGCACGAAGTAGACGGCAGTTGGGTACTGCGCGTCTACGTTACGGATTTACAGGTCGAGAGAAATCTTCGCGTCAAAGGAGAGCTTCATATTGGCGGTGTCATGCTTCGTCTTGTTGAAGATCTTGGTAAGTTATCTTCTCAAGTACTTCTTTTTTATTTATATTTTTAAAATTTTTATTTTCAATTTGCAATAATTTATTTTTATTTTAAATCGGAGCTTAATATTTATTTATTTACTTCGAACAGATAAATATAAATACTAAGTACAGACTTGGTGCAAATCTAGGAATTCTTTTCAAGTTTTTTCAAGTAAAACTTCGTAGTACGGAAATGATAGTACTTGAACAATTTCTGTTTTTTTTTTTTTATGCAAATAATATCTTTTTAAATATTTATACAAATTTTTAAAATTCTTTGCTTTTATTGTCTTTTTTAATTTTTAATAAAATTGGAGTCTTTTGATAAATTATACTAAATTCATTTTTTGAAAAGCAACTAAAGTTTTAATATATCAAATAGTTAATAAAAAAATTAAATATTAGACTAAAATGAATTAAAAAAATGTTTTCAAAATTTGAGAATTCATATTTAAAAATCTATAATTTATTTATAAAATTACAAAAATTGTCAGATGTTTTCTTAATTAAGTTTTGGAAAAACAGTAAAATATTTATCAAAAAAGAGCTAATTAAAAGACACTGCTCCAATCAATTTAGATTTACCACAATTCCTATGCGCGAGTAAAAAATTTATGTACATAAATTTAAAGTTTTTGCACAATCACCAATATCGTTAAATTTTTATTACTCAAATGACAACTTACGAAGCTTACATATATATTTATTTATACAACTCGATATCTTCAGTAAAAAGAATTCAATTTTTCGAAAACAAAAATTTTAAACTTTTCAAATACTATTATTATATATTTTTAAAATTTACGCATAAGATATTAAACAAATAGTTAATTGCAGTTATTTTTTAAATTTTAATCCAAAATTTTTCATCAAATTTATTCTACAGTCGTAAAAAAAGTCACATTTCAATAGTCTTGTATCCCTACAATAATATACTGCCTCTTAGATAAAAGATTTGTTTTATTTTTATTTATCTTATTACATCTAAATTATCAATAAAAGAAATTTAGCTCAATAAAAATCGCTCTGCCTTCCCCTATATTTATATATAGTCTACGGTTTCATTTTTGACTAGCTGTATCAGACGACACAAAATCACTTGGAGTGCAACAAGTTGCAAGATATCCTTTTATAACGTAACAGATACAAACCCTCGCTTTCGGTACCGGTTAAATTATTTAAATTTTAATCAATCTAGTGCAATTAATAATTAAATCATACACTTTTATATTATCCATGCCTTTAAGATAAAAAGCAATAATGATAGCTTAATATAATTATTATTTTAAAATACATTTTTTTTTTGCAATTTCATAATAACAGAGTGCATTTTATTGCATTTTAATAGCAAAAAACAATTACCGAGAGAGCTTGGATAAATGAGCGTTAACTTTATCAAAGGAAACGGCGTTTTTATTATATTTTATTTTAGGCAATTGCGATATTATATTCTAAAATTAACTGTAGTATTCCTGGTAAAAATGATATCGTCATAAGAGCTAGTGTGTATATGTAATACTTCCAGTTATTTCATTTGATTCAGTACACACATACATACATACATACATACATGAATATATGAATTCTCATATGTCTTTTCACTTCTTAAAGGCATATTAAGTGCATAAAATTGCATGTCACACGCTTGTTTTTCGCTTAATATTTAAAAATTATTTTTCTTCCTCTGTTGTCAATTTTTAAAAAATTTTGCTCTCAATTTTAAGACTTATTTATTGTCATGACGCGAGTAGACACCATTACGTTTATTTTAAAACCGTAGAGTAATGCAGACGTAAATCACGTGAGATTTATTTTAACGTTCTTGCTATCAAAATTATAAACCCAGAAGAATAATAAAATTTTTCTCTTCGCCATTAAAAACATTCATGCCATTTTATACTTAGCCATTTAAAGTGAAGTACAGTATAAAATAATTTACTGTATAAATCGCAATAATATTTACTCAAATGCCAAACAAAATAAAACAATAAAGTCTGAATGCAACTTTAAAAATAAAAAATACATACTTGGTTGTTGCACAATTATTTTATACATCAATGAGATTCTTCATCAGTGCGTATACATATATTTATTACAAGAAAATAAATACCATATGTTAAAAACTGCTCAAGTGGTTGTACATTTAGGCAGGATATGACCTTGAAGAGTCGTCAAAGTAGGGGAAGGATTTTGTGGTTCTTTTGTGACTACCAACATATTTAACTCGACATATATGTACATCTCATATATACGTGCATTATAAACCCACACACGTGATAGTAAGTGTAGTGCGGCACTTAACATAGCTCAAAATCACAGGCATCACAGGTGTCCTTTTTGTGATGATATTTATTCATGCATTAAAAAAGTTGACTCTACTCCACTCGTAAGATGAAAAATATCATTCTATAATATTTATAAACTGACATCCAAAATAAATTATGTGTATGCGTATACGTATAGGATTTTATTTTTAAAAATAGATGACTCAATACTTTTGACAGTATTTTTTTCGAGTGCGTTGAAAATGGGTCAAACGTCAAATTTAAAATAAACTTTTAAAAGAGCAACGAACAAATATTAAAGGTGTCTAGTTTGTTTA